TTTCATTTATTTTATGAGTAAATTTTATAGTAATTGTTGTAGAGATTTGTTTATATGTCTTAATTTAAGGAGAGTTAAAGGTTAAGTATGATTTTTTTTCTTTATTTTTTTTCCTTTTTTTATTATTGTTAACCTTCTTATTAATAACCCTGTACTCTGCTCTGGGAAGCGAGGGGGAGAGGGTTGAGGGTGGGTGGGTGGGTGGGTAATTTATTTATTTATTTATTTATGAGACTTATATGCCGCTTTAAGTGCAAGCACTCTCTAAGCGGTGTACACCAGTAAGCAATGTATATATATATTTACATTGCCCCCAACAATCTGGGTCCTCATTTTACCTACCCCGGAAGGATGGAAGGCTGAGTCAACCTTGAGCCGGTGAGATTTGAACCGCTGACCTGCTGAACACAGTCAGCTAAAGTGGCCTGCAGTACTGCACTCTAACTGCTGCGCCACCTCAGGTAATGATAATATAGTTATGGCAAATGCTTGGGCATTTCCCCTATGCCGCGTTCATTATGTGTGAGAGGGATGAGAGGGGAGGAAGGAGTAGGGAGGAAGTAGGATGGTTAGAGGAGATGGGGAGGGGAAGAGAGTAGGAGGGGGGGAGAGAAAGAGGAGGGAAGTAGGGAAGGTTTAGAGAGGGTGGACGCAGCCTGGGGGGAATGGGCAGGCGGTACCAATGGTTAATTGTATTTTGTATGAATAAATGGAAAATAAAAACTTTTTTAATAAAAAAAAAGGATACTGTAAGGACCCACCCCACTTTGCATCTTAAGAAGACAGAACTCTTGGAATAATTCTTCCAACAGGAATCCTTTATTAAGAAGAAGTGGTTGCAGGCGTGCTAGACAGGACTTGGGGTCCAAGCCCTCCCATTCAAGGTTTTAAGGGGTTCCCCAGTAGTCCCACCCAATCACCCCCCCTTCCAGTGATAGTTTCAGGTATCACAATTCCACCCCCTTTTTTCTTTCTTCCGTCTGGATGGAGACTTCAGATAAACTACATGAAAGGCAAATAACCTTCTTTGTTATGGTAAGGTTCTTTGGTGCTAACGCTTTGAGGTTACAATAAACACACATTCAGCATTCAGCTCCTTAGAAGTATACTGAAGGAAGTGAGGGCCATAAAGCCCCTTTGTTCTCCCCCTTCTCTCCCTCTTATGGCAGAATCCAGAGAAGGCAGAATTAGGAGTTTCTATATTTGATAATTAAAGATGAAATATAATTGGATTCTGACAGATACCTTTTCTGTGTAAGTCTGGAGACGCTACAGAGAGAGAGAAGAACTGGAAGTTCTGCCCTGACACATAATGGATCCAATACTGGACCGCTGCTAGCGCTGCTGCTGGCTGCTCCGCCGCTGCCGCTGCTGCCAACTGAGCTGAGCTGCAGCGCCGAGCCAGTCTCTACGCCTCCTGGTTGCCCGGCCACGCTCTGCCCCCGGCCACCCTCTGCGCCACGCGGGAGCCTCCCCCATACCGCCCGGCCAGCCTCCCTCGTCGTCGGAGGCCGCCTCAGCCCTCTGACACCCGGCGCGGCCGTGGGGCTGCCAGGCAGGAGTGGCTCCTTCCTGGCTCATCGGGCTCCGGGCCTCGGAAGCGGGCAGGGGGCAGGGAAGAGAGCGAGGCAGCGGCAATGCCCGCATGTGCATCGGAGGCCAGCCGGCCAGGCCGGGAGGGGAGAAGCGGCGCCTTCTGAGTGGGAGCTGGCACTCTGGCCACACCCCTCTCGCGTGCGATGGGCTGCGCGGCGTGGAAAGGGGCTCCCGCAACCCCGCCGCTGCGATGGCACTCAGGAGGCTGAGGGGTAGGCAGGTCCCAGGGGGGGCAGAGAAAGCAAGAGGTGCCAGGATGAGGATGGGGGGGCTCCAGGTTGGCGGGTGTGAGAGGGCAGCCGGCAGCTCCGAGGTGCGCGGAGCCTCCACGCAGATTCCAAGGCCCCGGATGTGCCGCCGCTTGGCTCTCGAACAGGGTCTCCGCCAGAGCCTCCCCCCCTCTCAGGGCAATTGTGCGGAGCTGCTTGTGCGTCCTTGGCAGCGCCTCCCCCCTTCAATCTCTCTCTCCTTCTTTCCTTCCTTCCCCCTTCAATCTCCTTCCTTTCCCCTTCAATCTTCCTTCCTTCCTTCCATCTCCATCCCTTCCCCTTCAATGTCTCTCTCCTTCCTTCCTTCCTTCCTTCCTTCCTTCCTTCCCCCCTCCATCGCCTTCCTTTTACATCTCCATCCCTTCCCCTTCAATCTCCCTCTCCTTCCTTCCTTCCTTCCTTCCTTCCTTCCTTCCCCCCTCCATCTCTTTCCTTCTCCATCTCCTTCCTTTCCCCGTCAATCTTCCTTCCTTCTTTCCTTCCTTCCTTCCCCTTCAATCTCTCTCTCCTTCCTTCCCCTTCAATCTCTTTCCTTCTCCATCTCCTTCCTTTCCCCTTCAATCTTCCTTCCATCTCCATCCCTTCCCCTTCAATCTCTCTCTCCTTCCTTCCTTCCCCTTCAATCTCTTTCCTTCTCCATCTCCTTCCTTTCCCCTTCAATCTTCCTTCCTTCCTTCCATCTCCATCCCTTCCCCTTCAATCTCTCTCTCCTTCCTTCTTTCCCCTTCAATATCCTTCCTTCTCCATCTTCTTCCTTTCCCCTTCAATCTTCCTTCCATCTCCATCCCTTCCCCTTCAATCTCTCTCTCCTTCCTTCTTTCCCCTTCAATCTCCTTCCTTCTCCATCTCCTTCCTTTCCCCTTCAATCTTCCTTCCTTCCTTCCATCTCCATCCCTTCCCCTTCAATCTCTCTCTCCTTCCTTCCTTCCCCTTCAATCTCTTTCCTTCTCCATCTCCTTCCTTTCCCCTTCAATCTTCCTTCCATCTCCATCCCTTCCCCTTCAATCTCTCTCTCCTTCCTTCTTTCCCCTTCAATATCCTTCCTTCTCCATCTTCTTCCTTTCCCCTTCAATCTTCCTTCCATCTCCATCCCTTCCCCTTCAATCTCTCTCTCCTTCCTTCTTTCCCCTTCAATTCCTTCCTTCTCCATCTCCTTCCTTTCCTTCAATCTTCCTTCCTTCCTTCCTTCCTTCCTTCCATCTCCATCTCCATCCCTTCCCCTTCAATATCTCTCTCCTTCCTTCCTTCCTTCCTTCCTTCCTTTCCCCTTCAATCTCCTTCCTTCTCCACCTCCTTCCTTTCCTCTTCAATCTTCCTTCCTTCCTTCCCCTTCCCTCCCTCCCAACGTTTTTGAGCAAGGAAGAGTAAGCTTCTCCAGCGAGCATTGCTATATTGTTTTTGTGATTAATCACTATGCTTTAATTATGTTCAATTCGTAGCAATGAAAATACACCCTGCATATCAGATATTTACATTACGATTCATAACAGTAGCAAAATTACAGTTATGAAGTAGCAACGAAAATAATTTTATGGTTGGGGGTCACCACAACATGAGGAACTGTATTAAGGGGTCGCGGCATTAGGAAGGTTGAGGACCACTGGTGTAGGGTCTCCTGCTTGGGCGGGGGTTGGACTAGATGACCTACAAGGTCCCTTCCAACTCTGTTATTCTATTCTATTCTATTCTGTTCTGTTCTGTTCTGTTCTGTTCTACTCTATTCTACTCTACTCTTATTCTATTCTATTCTATTCTATTCTATTCTATTCTATTCTATTCTATTCTACTCTACTCTACTCTCTTATTCTATTCTATTCTATTCTATTCTATTCTACTCTACTCTACTCTCTTATTCTATTCTATTCTATTCTATTCTATTCTATTCTATTCTATTCTACTTACAGGCCTTCACTACTTTTAAATATGGTGGCTTTGGCCTAGTCCCACACAAGACCGGATTGGACACCTAAATTATTCTCTATGCATTCCAGCCTTTCCTTAGACACAAAGCCAGCCAGGTGACCCTGAGCCAGTCTCAGCCCCAGAAAGGAGACAATGGCAAAAACCTTGCCAAGAAGACTGCAGGGACATGTCCAGGTGGTCACCAGGAGCCAACACTGATTTAAAAGTCCCAAAAAAAACCAGTGGATCCTTTCTTAAACAGAACTGCCCAGGTGCTCCAGACCCTATTTTAAGAAAATAGGGCCATCAAAAAACAAAAAATGATGATTCAAAAATAATAATTCAGCATCTTAAAGAGGAAACCAACGGCTCCTGTTCGCACGAAGTCGCGAGACGTTTGGTCCAATAAATCCGCCCGACTTAGTAATAGTAGTAATAGTAGTAAAGTTGGAAGGGACCTTGGAGGTCATCTAGTCCAACCCCCTGCTCGGGCAGGAAACCCTACACCATTTCGGACAAATGGCTGTCCAGTCGCTTCTTAAAAACTTCCAGTGTTGGAGCATTTACTGCTTCTGGAGGCAAGCTGTTCCACTGATTAATTGTTCTCACTGTCAGGAAGTTTCTCCTTAGTTCTAGGTTGCTTCTCTCCTTGATTAGTTTCCATCCGTTTCTTCTTGTCCTGCCTTCAGGCGCTTTGGAGAATAGCTTGACTCCCTCTTCTTTGTGGCAGCCCCTGAGATATTGGAATACTGCTATCATGTCCCCCCTTGTCCTTCTCTTCGTTAAACTAGACATACCCAATTCTAGCAACCGTTCCTTATATGTTTTAGCCTCCAGTCCCCTAATCATCTTTGTTGCTCTTCTCTGTACTCTTTCTAGAGTCTCAACATCTTTTTTACATCGTGGTGACCAAAACTGGATGCAGTATTCCAAGTGTGGCCTTACCAAGGCATTGTAAAGTGGTATTAACACTTCACGTGATCTTGATTCTATCCCTCTGTTAATGCAGCCTAGCACTGTGTTGGCCTTTTTGGCAGCTGCCGCACACTGCTGGCTCATATTTAAGTGATTGTCTACTAGGACTTCAGGAAGCCTTTGATTAAAAAGTGAAAGTCGACTCGCTTCCGGAGAGAAGGCGCTTTCACACGACTCGGGGGGGGGGAACAACACGCGTAAAGAGCCGGCCTAATCGGCCGGGGGGGGGGGAGAAATCTGTCCCCGAAGAAAGCCTTCTGCACCTGCTCAGAGGACCTTCCGCTCTCCCAGATCCTCGTTCTTTTTATTCCGAGCCAGCAAGCAGCCGCCACGGAGCACCGGCAACCGGCAGAGGGCTCTGGACCGCGGAGCGATGGGCTGAACCCGGCTGGCCTCGCTCGCTCCGCGCTGCTGATCCGGGAGGAAGGGGCCGATCTTCCAGCCGGACGGCGGGGTTGTATCCGGAGACTGGTAAGCGGGCCTAGTGGGCGCAGCCGGGGAATCCCTCCAATAGGTTAAGCCTCCCCTTGAAGCTGCCGCCCTTCGCGCGTGTATCTAATCGGGGCAAACATCAAAGGAGAGCGAGGAGATCAAAGCAGCTCCGAACGTGACGTCATAAGAATTCAGACGGTTTCCTTTGAAGTCAAGATTCGAAAGGGGTGGGGCGCTGAAGGCAGCTGTTGAGCCTTTGCCCTTCCCCCCTTCCCTCCGACCCCAGGATTTAGACTAGACTACAGTCCCCATCGGTCGCAGCCCGCCGGGTTGGGAATCGCCTTTCGGAGCGCAAGGTGAGCCTATAAAACAGTGTTTCTCAACCTTGGCAATTCTAAGGCATGTGGACTTCAACTCCCAGAATTCCACAGCCAGCAACGCTGGCTGTGGAATTCTGGGAGTTGAAGTCCACATGCCTTAAAATGGTCAAGGTTGAGAAACAATGCTATAAAATGTATAGTATAAATCCACCAAAGTAGCCCCGGGAACTTTGGAACTGCTTAAGGGAAAGCGCTCTATATAAGCTCAGGAGAACTGTCCCTGGCTGAAATCTCGGGCAGTGATGGATCACAGAGCTCTAGCTGGGCACCATGGAAGTTGTAGTCTAAGATGATCTGGATGGCAGGAAGGCCAGCACTAACTTGCTGCCTTTGGGCCAGTGTCTTTTTTTTTTTTTTTCCCCATTTCAGCCTATCTTGTATGGTTATTGTGGGGAAAAAGAGGAGAGAGTGCAGTTTATGCTGCATGAACCACCTTCATCAAAGACAATATGTAATCCAATTAGTAAATGTTAGTCTAGGTTGCCATATTTTCTGTTATGCAAATTTGGGGCACGCGGAATTAAATGCTTTTCAATATCCATATATCTGTAATTGCAAATAAGCACCATCCTGCTGTGATTTACCCTTACACAATACTCTGACATAAAAATCTCACAATATTTGACCATTTCCATTTTTTTACTTTTTTTTTTTAAAGCTTTCCTCACTATTAAAAAATGTCTCCCAGAAGCCAAAGAAAAGGGTGAACTATTTGGTCTGCTTTATTTATTTATTTATTTATTTATTTAAGAAAGGATTATTTTTGTGCAGGCTGTGGATAAGAGATTATTTTTGTGCAGGTTGTAGGGCATTTAGGAAAAGCATGGAAGAGAGTTTAGCTCTGAACCAGCATTACTCAACCTTGCAGCTTTTAAGACGTGAGGGCTTCAACTTCCAGACCTCCCCCCCCCCACCAATATGGTGGCAGAGGGATTCTGGGAGTTGAAGTCCATACATCTTAAAAGCTGCCAAGGGGGAGAAGCCCTGAAGATCCCAAGAGAGTCTGTTTATTTTCTAAACAGAAAAAGGAGAGCAAATCTCGGAATGGGCAGCTTAATAGCCACTGTAAGGACTTATTAAATTATTAAATTATTATTAAATTAAAAGATGCTTGCTCCTGGGGAGGAAAGCTATGGCAAATCTAGACAGCATACTAAAAAACAGAGACATCACCCTGCCAACGAAGGTGCGTATAGTCCAGGCCATGGTTTCCCCAGTTGCAATGTGTGGCTGTGAAAGTTGGACCATAAGAAAGGCTGAGCGCCAAAGAATTGAGGCCTTTGAACTATGGTGCTGGAGAAGACTCTTGTAAGTCCCCTGGACTGCAAGGCGATCAAACCGGTCAGTCCTAGAAGAGATCAACCCCGGCTGCTTTTTAGAAGGCCAGATCCTGAAGTTGAAGCTCAAATACTTTGGCCACCTAATGAGAAGGAGAAGAGCCTAATGCTGGGAAAGATGGAGGGCAACAGAAGAATGGGACGACAGAGAATGAGATGGCTGGATGGAGTCACTGAAGCAGTAGGTGTGAACTTAAATGGACTCCAGAAGATGGTAGAGGACAGGAAGACCTGGAGGAACGTTGTCCATGGGGTCGTGATGGGTCGGACATGACTTCGCAATTAACAACAACAACAACAAAGGACCCACCCCACTTTGCATCTTAAGAAGACAGAACTCTTGGAATATTTCTTCCAACAGGCATCCTTTATTAAGAGAAAATGGTTGCAGGCGTTCTAGACAAGACATGGGGCCCAAGCCCTACGGTTCAAGGTTTTAAGGGGTCCCCAGCAGCCCCGCCCCATCCCACCATCTTTCCAGTGACAATCCCAGGCATTACATTTCCACCCCCTTTTCCCTCACTGCCAGTGGAAGGGAGACTTCAGACAGGAGTAGATGAAAGCTGATGGCCCCATTGTTATGATTAGTGCTTTTGGTAGTATCCACATTCAGTCCCTTTGAAGTTGTACGGAAGGAAGTGAGGGCCATAAAACCCCTTTGTTCACACACCCCCTTCCCCTTCATCGTATGACAGAATCCAGAGAGAGCAGAAATGGGGTTTTCCATAGTCGATAACTAGAAATGAAATATAACTGGATTCTGACACCAGCGTTGTTAAAACCGCTTGAAATATCCTTTTTCTAGCTGTGAAGGCATTGTGGTTCCCCAAACAGCCACATCTGAAGGAGCTGAGAAAGACTCTTGGATCTCCCAATGGAGCAAGCTCCCATCCTCCAGAACGTAGATCCAGAGTGTCAAGGTAAATTGGATTTTCTTTCCGTTATTGTGACCCAAGTCTTCAATTCACTGCTCAACTTCCAGATCCTGTTTTTGGATTTATTTTTTTCTTTACAATCCCCTGCAGAAGCCACTGCCTATTTACACATTTTTAAAAATATAGGCCCCAACATTGTACAGGTAATCCTTGACTTACAACAGAAGCAACCTAGAACTAAGGAGAAATTTCCTGACAGTTAGAACAATTAACCAGTGGAACGACCTGCCTCCAGAGGTTGTGAATGCTCCAACACTGGAAGTTTTTAAGAAGAGACTGGACAGCCATTTGTCCGAAATGGTGTAGGGTTTCCTGCCTGAGCAGGGGGTTGGACTAGATGACCTCCAAGGTCCTTTCCAACTTCTATTATTATTATTATTATTATTATTATTATTATTATTATTATTATTATTATTATTATTTCATTTGGTGACCGTTTGGAGTTACAGCATCACTAAAAATGATCATTTTTCACACTTATGACATCCTCATGGTCACGTGATCAAAATTCAGACGTTTGGCAACTGACACATATTTATGACGGTGGCAGTGTCCCAGAGTCATGTGATCCCCTTTTGCGACCTTCTGACGAGCAAAGTCAATGGGGAAGCCAGATTCACTTAACAACCCTGTTACTTAACTTGACAACTGCAGTGATTTACTTAAGAACGGTGGGAAGAAAGGTAAAATGGGCCAAAATTCACTTAACAGCTGTCTCACATAGCAACAGAAATTTGGGGCTCAATTGTGGTTGTAAGTCAAGGACTACCTGTTATGGTTCTGGCTAATGAAACACTTCAAAGAACTTCCAGGCATTGATTTCCCTAGCAGTCTTTTATTTTGCTTCAAAATGTCGGCACAGGCATAACGAAGTCCATGCTCTGAGTTCTCTTCCTCTGAGCAGTTAAATTATCAGCATTTTCCCTCCCTAAATTAGCTGTCGTATATCACATTTATCCATTTAGTGTGAAGGTCAAAGTTTTCCTTCCTCTCTCTTTCCCGGGCTTTTCCCTCCACCCTCTTCTGCTCTGCATTAACTCTAAAAATACCAGACAGTTCTGCATATTGTCAAAGCAAGAATATACAGTATTTGCAGCGTTGACACTACCTATATGCCATTGCACAATAGTGCCCCTCTTTTGAAAAAGCCACCGGTATGCCCGATGTGGTATTGTGGTGTTGTATCCAAGGGGTTTCGATTTTGTTATAAGAATGAAAAAATCTTTTTCCTCATCTATATGGGGTAATGACTTGACTTAACTTTGTTGTTTCTGTAGTTCAAAGACCAAAGGTTCAGGAAGAAGAGAAGGAAGCAATTTCCAGTTTGGATAACTCTGAACCAGTAGGCATATGCGAGGAATTGTTAAGCAAATCCAATTTCCACACTCCGGAGGAGGAAGAAAATTTGGAAAACGAGCAAAAAAATGAAGAACAGGCAAGTAAAAACATGACTCAGCCCCTTCATAATGGAGCAGGCGAGATAAGCAATGCAGATAAATGCAAGAGGCAACTTGTGTGCAGCCGATGCAGAAAAAGCTTCAGCAGTACCTTCAAACTTATTGCTCACGAGAGAATCCACACCGGAGCGAAACCGTATAAATGTCACCGTTGCGGGAAAAGCTTTGGCAAGAAATCAATTCTTGTTGCTCATCAGAGAATCCACCTGGAGCAGAAACCGTACCAATGTTGCGTGTGTGGGAAGAGCTTTCGGCAGCTGTCAAGCCGCATTGCCCACGAGCGAATCCATACCGAAGAAAAACCCTATGCCTGCCCGGATTGCGGGAGGAACTTCCGTCTGAAATCTAGCTTGGTTGCCCACCAAAGAATCCACACAGGAGAAAAACCTTACGGGTGCTCTGAATGTGGGAGACGCTTCAGCCAGAAATCGGCTCTGATTGCGCACGGGCGGACCCACAAAGGCGAGAAACCTTACCCTTGCTCGGTGTGCGGGAAAACTTTCAGCCAGAGCTCCAATCTCATTGCCCACGAGAGAATCCACACCGGGGAAAAGCCCTACCCTTGTCCTCACTGTGGGAGGTGTTTCGCCTGCAGTTCCAGCCTCGTCCGGCATCAGAGGATCCATGTGGAAGACAAACCATACGGATGCGTGGTCTGCGGGAAAACCTTCCGCTGCAATTCGAGCCTCAGCAGACACCGGCGGACCCACACGGGGGAGAAACCCCACGAATGCCCCGATTGTGGCAAAACCTTCAGCGTGAGCTCCCAACTCAGGGTGCACCGGAGGACCCATACGGGAGAGAAGCCCTACGAATGCTCAGAGTGTGGGAAAAACTTCAGCGTGAGATCGAGCCTTAACGCCCACCAGAGAATGCACGGAGGTTCGAAGCCTTATAAATGTTCCGACTGTCCCAAAAGTGTTTATCTAAGGTCGAGCCTCACAGCCCACAAGAAAACGCATGGAGAAAAGGCGTTTGATTGCATAGTGTGTGGCAAAACCTTCACCTGCAGCTCCGGACTCATCCGCCACCAGAGAATTCACACTGGGGAAAAACCCTTCGTTTGTGCAGACTGTGGGAAAAGCTTCAATGTGAGCGCCAACCTTATTGCACACCAGCGAACTCACACGGGAGAAAAGCCGTACCGGTGCTCTGAATGTGGCAAATTCTTCAGCGTGAGTTCGCAGCTCCACGTCCATCAGAGAACCCACACTGGGGAAAAACCGTACGGGTGTTCCCACTGTAGTAAGAGCTTCACGTGTAACTCCGCCCTTATTAGGCACCTGAGGATCCACACCGGAGAGAAACCGTTTCAGTGCTCGGAGTGTGGGAAAAGGTTCAATCTAAATTCGAATCTGGTCGTCCATCAAAAAACTCACACTGGAGGGAAGCCCTATAAATGCATTTACTGCGGGGAAAGTTTCTATACGAGGCCACATTTTGTTGAACATCATAAAGCCAGACATTTGGATGCTCTAAATAGGAAAACAGATGAAAGCAACGGTAATTCTAAATCCATTAATTACCAAATAAACTATGTAGGGTGGGGTTGATAAAATTGGTGAGCAGGAGCCTGAATCCACTGGAAAACTTTACATCGGGGCTCTCCAAACTTGGCAACTTTAAGACTGGTGGACTTCAACTCCCAGAATTCCCCTCCCAGAATTCTGGGAGTTGAAGTCCACAAGTCTTAAAGTTGCCAAGTTTTACATGAACCACTTTGCAATAAATATTCTGTTGCTTCTCATAGTGAGTCCTAAGCCTTATATTTGGACAGTGCTAGCCATTTCTTGGATGTTTAGGGATCCTAAAACTCCACCCTTCTTTGGGTTCACCTATATTTTTAGGGACCTATATTTTTAGGGAAACAATTTCAAGGGAGGTAGAATGCAGGGGAAAAAACCCTTTTGCTTATCCACATTTACGCGGCATACTGCACCATCAAGTAGCAAAGCTCCAAAGTTGTAAAAATCAGACTAAGTCAATAAAAATCAGAACTTTTTTTTAAAAAAATGGGAGAACACTGTGGCCTTGTTTTTTATATGCAAAAAAACATTTGTGATGCCCACAAAAGTTGTTTATTTCAGTGCCTGACTTTTTTTTTTTAAGTTACAACAGGAAGAGTGATGTCCTGCTGGCTGAGGAATTCTGGGAGTTAAAGTCCACACATCTTAAAGTTGCCAAGTGTGCAAAACATTGACCTATAATGTCATGACCTAGGGAGGGCCTGGCTGTTGGAGGGATTGTGCCATCCCATACAATTTACTCCCAATAGTAAGATGGGCAGTGTATAGATTTTAATAAATAAATAGAATTAATCCAGCAGAATCAGCATGTTCCAGGTCCCACCAATTAAGCAATGGCCCCTAATGAGACCCAGGAAACAGGCGATCAAAATATCCTCCTCAGAATCCACATGACCTCCCATCCTGGCTTGGGTAATCCTGGAAGTTGAAGTGTCCACACATCTCAAACGGTCGCTGAGATTGAGAAACGCTGATTTAAATAAATCTTTAAAACCTGGCTGCTTCTCATGTTGTGAATTGAGGGTTGTGGGGTTTATTAGACGGTCCTGTTTTTCTCTGGATTTTTTTTAACTCTTATTATTTTCATATTGTATAGGTGGGCCACTTTAAATTTTATCTAGTCCAGGCGTAGGCCACCTTGGCTCTTTTATGACTCGTGGACTTCAACCCCCAGAATCCCTGAGCCAGCCATGGCTCGGCTTGGAAACCTCTCCCTTTCCCCTCAGCATGGCTGGCTCAGGAATTCTGGGAGTTGAAGTCCACGAGTCATAAAAGAGCCAAGGTGGCCTACCCCTGGCCTAGGCAGCCATGCTGGCTCGGGAATTCTGGAAGTTGAAGTCCACGAGTCATAAAATGTGAGGGAAGGGAGAGGACCAGTTGTAAATGACTTTTTTCAGCGCCGTTGTAATTTCAAATGGAAACTAAGCAAATGGCTGTCATTTGAGGACCACCTGTACTATGCTCAATGCCAGGGGTAGGCAACCTTGGCTCTTTTTTGACTCGTGGACTTCAACCCCCAGAATTCCTGAACCAGCATGGCTCAGCTTGGAAACCTCTCCCTTTCCCCTCAGCATGGCCGGCTCAGGAATTCTGGGAATTGAAGTCCACAAGTCATAAAAGAGCTGAGGTTTCCTACCCCTGGTCTAGTCTATGCTCCCTAGAGTCATAATAGAGTTGGGTAGCAATTAAATATTAAATACTTCAGTAAATTTTCTCTGGGAACACAACCTTGGTATGCAGTGGAGATTTTTTAAAACACACACACATAAACACCGCACAGCAAAACAATTATTATTATAGTTTCTCTCTGGGATTTGGGAACCAGGCCAAATAGCTGGCAGCACTATCATTTCTTGAGAAATTAGGCAAGGCCACATACAGCCGAGTATTCAGAGCAGTACAGATAGTCCTCGGCTTATGACCACTATTGAGCCCAAAATTTCTGTTGCTAAGCGAGACATTGGTTAAGTGAGTTTTGCCCCCTTTTATGACCTCCCTTGCCCCAGTTGTTAAGTGAATTGCTGCAATTGTAACCTGGTTGTTAAGTGAATCTGGCTTCCCCCCTTGATTTTGCTTGTCAGAAGGTCGCAAAAGGGATGATCCCAGGACGCTGCGACCGTCACAAATATGAGTCGGTTTCCAAGCCTCTGGATTTTGACCAGGTGACCCATGGGGATGCAGGAGTGGTCGTAAGTGTGAAAAATGGCATCAGTCCCTTCTTTCATTGCTGTTGTAACTTCAGTCATTAAGTGAACTATTGTAGCTCGGGGACTGCCTGTATGTGGAAATGGGCAAGTGGTTCCTACTTGTAATAATAATAATAATAATAATAATAATAATAATAATAATAATAATAATGTTGAAGGGACCTTGGAGGTCATCTAGTCCAACCCCCTACTCAAGCAGGAAACCTTATACCATTTCAGACAAATGGCTGTCCAGTCTCTTCTTAAAAACTTCCAGTGTTGGAGCATTCACTGCTTCTGGAGGCAGGTTGTTCCACTGGTTAATTGTTCTGTCAGGAAGTTTCTCCTTAGATCTAGGTTGCTTCTCTCCTTGATTATTTTCAATCCATTGCTTCTTGTCCTCCCTTCATGTGCTTTGGAGAATAGCTTGACTCCCACTTCTTTGGATCAGCCCCTGAGATATTGGAACATGGATATCCTGTCCCCCCCTGGTCCTTCTCTTCATTAAACTAGACATACCCAATTCCATCAACCTTTCCTTATGTTTTAACCTCCAGTCCCCTAATCATCTTTGTTGCTCTTCTCTGTACTCTTTCTAGAGTCTCAACATCCTTTTTACATCGTGGTGACCAAAACTGGATGCAGTATTCCAACTGTGGCCTTACCAAGGCATTGTAAAGTGATATTAGTTTTAATCCTCCTGCAGACATGTAATTTTACTGATTTTGCTTCCTCGTGTTGTCTTCATTTTAATTAATCTAAGGCAGGGGTCCCCAACCCCCAGTCCATGGACCAGTATTGGTCCACGGCATGTCAGCAACCGGTCCACACAAACAAGCAAAGCCCCATCTGTACATGCAGGCAGCACACAAAACTGTGCACCCTCCGGTCTGCGGAAAAACCTCTCTCCACGGAACCGGTCCCTGGTGCCCAAAAGGTTGGGGACCTCTGATCTAAGGCATCCAGCCACCCCCATCACCCCCAAAGCATATATACGGTATATTTTTCCTGCACAGCTTCAGTCTCACTCCATCCCCATGCCAATAGCATTGTGTCTTCATCTCACAACTGGTGCGCCCTATGTTTTTTACCCACAAGGCGAGCTTTCTGGCCAGACACGGGTCACCCTTGACCCCCAAGAGTGTGCAGCCTCTGGTATTTGTTGTTCTTTCGACCCGCAGACTTCCACCAGCCCCACAGTCTCTCTTCCTCCAATCTACAGAGGGAAAAACCTGCAGTGGAAGAAGGAGCAGTCGGGTGATAAGAAAGTTCAAGCCCTCCGTAGGAGAGGCCTAGCCTAGCAGGCTCTTTACAGGATAACAGAATCAGAAGGGACCTTGGAGGGCTTCTAGTCCAACCCTCTGCTCAAGCAGAATACTCAAAGCCAGGGGTGTCAAACTCAATTTCACTGAGGGCCGCATCAGCATTACGGTTGCCCTCGGGGGGGGGGGTGGCCAGGGGGGGTGCGGCCTACTGCATGGGCATGGATGGAGTGGGTGCGGCCTACTGGGTGGGCGTGGCCAGCTCTACATCATTCGCGTCAAGGGGGCCTGTGGGGGCCTGGGCAGGAGTGGGACAGATCTGAGGGTCTCTGGCAGAAGGGGGTGAGACCAGGGTAGAGCCCATCAAGCTGGATATGTGAAATAGGCGAGGGCCATTTGCTGGCCCCTTTCAGGCGATGGTGCATTTCTTCATTCCTCACAAAGGGTGACACCTCCCCAGCACGCACCCAGGGGGCGGGGCCGACGCAGCAGGGGCTGGTTCCTCGGTGTTTCTAGACGGCCTTGTGGAGCTAAGACTGAATGTGTTTCAGCATAGATGGCCACCACAAAATTGTACATTGGCTCCCGGTTGGCCTGGGCCAGGGCCAAGGCAGTGGGGGCCGTTCCCTCACTGTTTCCAGGATGGCTTCGCGGGTCACATGAAACCATTTCGCGGGCCGCATCCAGCCCCCGGGCCTTGTGTTTGACATGTCTGCTCCATGCCATTTTACATAGGTGGCTGTCCAATCTGTTTGTAAAAGCCTCCAGTGATGGAGCACCTAAAACCTCTGGAGGCAAGCCATTCCATTGGTTAATTGTTCTCCATTAGGAAATTTCTCCTTATTTTTAGGTTGTTTCTCTCCTTGATTAGTTTCCATTAGTTTACTTCTTGTCCTGCCTTCAGGTGCTTTGGAGAATAGCTTGACTCCCTCTTCTTTGTAGCAGCCCCTGAGATATTGGAACACTGCTATCATGTCCCCCCTCGTCCTTCTCTTCATTAAACTAGACGTACCCAGTTCCAGCAACCGTTCTCTCTAGATTTTAGCCTCCAGTCCCCTGATCATCCTTGTTGCTCTTCGCTGCACTCTTTCTAGAGTCTCAACATCTTTTCTATATTATGGTAGGAGCTTTATTATAATATATTTTATATAATATGGTAGGAGCTGCTGTCCACGCTCTGCTATGGCGTGATGCCAATTGCACAGGGCCTCGGACAGCTTTAGAGCAGTGGTTCTCAACCTGTGGGTCGGGACCCCATTTGGGGTCGAACGACCATTTCACGGGGGTCGCCAAACAACGCAGTCCGCCATTTTTTTCCCCTTTTCCTTAGCTGTGCTACTCCCTTTTATTCTATTGGCTTTTGAAAGCCAATAGAATAGACTCTCTTGAATAGAGTCTAATTCTATTGGCTTTCAAAAGCCAATAGGAATTGTCCAGGCTGTCTCTGCCCTGCTGAGCCTGCCAAAAGTCCCATTCTGCAAACGGTGCTGCACCAGTTGAGTAGTCCTCAACTTACGACCGGTTGAGTAGTCCTCGACTTACGACCGGTTGGGGGGTCGCGGCATTAAAAAGGTTGAGAACCACTGCTTTAGAGTGAGGGCATGCAGAGTGGCCTACCCAGTGCTTTTTTTCTAAAAAAAAAAAAAAAAAAAACAGGTGCCGGAACTCACATATATCATACAACCCGCCTTGCCTACCCTACAAGGTTCCATCCAAAAAAGGCATTCTATGAGAAAAAAAGTCCTGGCCCTGCCACCCAGCAAGTGGGAGACCCAAGGACGAAAAAGTACCAATCCTGAATAAGCCACAGAAAAGGAGGACTCTACACCAGTGCCGATACATCTTTCCTTAGACTCGGTCACCTGCAGCTCGGTCACCTTAATCCCTCCGAACAGCTCCCCAAAATAGAAGGAGCAAAGTGGGCACAACACAGATTCTAAGGGGGCCTGGCTGCTTGCTGTCTGTCTGCCTGCCTGGCCAGCTGGCGATGGGGAATCCTTTTTCTTTCTATTGGGTCCTAAACATGAAAGTCATTGAACAGGTGCAACAGGACAACGCGGTCCAATGGTGTTCCTTGCTTTATCCTGATTGCAGGAAGAAGCCAGCTGGTCTGGGCAGCAGAAGTGCAGAGCTGCCAATCTGGATCACGGTTTATTGAATATCTTGTTTATTTGCTTGTTTCCTTTTTCATCTGTCTTAATCGCCCGTTTCCCTCGGAGAAGAGCTGCGGGCAGAATAACCCGTTCTTGGCAGGGTTCAGACCTTATGCTAAGCCACGCTCTTCTTACCAAGCATTTGCACTATTTATCTTGTGTGATCTAGGGGATTTAACCTTGCAACATGTTTGTGTTGTAAAAATTTTGTGGTCGTCTGCTCAGTTAAAAGGTTCGAGCAGTTAACCGACACGAGTCAACAATGGGTAAATAAGTCAGGTAAATAAAAATAAGGCAAGTAAATCAAATAATGAATATAACTGTATATAACCAAGTAAATAAAAACAAGGCAAGCAAAAATCAAGTACTGTAATGAAGAAAGTAAACAAACAAATAAATAAAAAAATAAAAATAAGGCAAGTAAATCAAATAATGAATATAACTGTATATAACCAAGTAAATAAAAACAAGGCAAGCAAAAATCAAGTACTGTAATGAAGAAAGTAAACAAACAAACAAACAAACAAACAAATATGTAGAGTAATAAGTAGAAGTAATCAGTGGGGACTGCAACCAAGAAATTAAAAGAGGCTTGCTCCTGGGGAGGAAAGCTATGGCAAATCTAGACAGCATACTAAAAAGCAGAGACATCACCCTGCCAACAAAAGTGCGTACAGTCCAGGCCATGGTTTTCCCAGTTGCAATGTATGGCTGTGAAAGCTGGACCATAAGAAAGGCTGAGCGCCAAAGAATTGAGGCCTTTGAACTATGGTGCTGGAGAAGACTCCTGCGAGTCCCTTGGACTGCAAGGCATTCAAACCGGTCAGTCCTATAAGAGATCAACCCCGACTGCTCTTTAGAAGGCCAGATCCTGAAGTTGAAACTCAAATACTTTGGCCACCTAATGAGAAGGAAGGACTCACTGGGGAAGGGCCTAATGCTGGGAAAGATTGAGGGCAATAGAAGAAGGGGACGACAGAGAATGAGATGGCTGGATTGAGTCACTGAAGCAGTAGGTGTGAATTTAAATGGACTCCAGAAGATGGTAGAGGACAGGAAGACCTGGAGGAACGTTGTCCATGGGGTCGCGATGGGTCGGACACGACTTCGCAATTAACAACAACAACAACAACAATCAGTGGGGATTTGCACAAACACCCCACTGCTAATCCCTTTCCTGCCTCAGTTTCCCCTTCCAAACAAAATTCCACTCTGGAATCCAGAGTTTATCTGGTCCAGTATTTCTCAACCTCCACAACCTTAAGCTGTACGGGCTTCAACTGCCAGAATTTCCCTAGCCCAGAGGTCCGCAACCTGTGGGCCATAGCCCACTACCGGACCATGGCGTATTCACAACCGGGCTGCATGAGTGGCTGGCTGGTGCGCAGGCACTCAAGGCCTCACACAAGGGTCGAGGGCGCTTGGTGCCCCACTTGCGCGAGCGTCGTTAACAGTTCACAGCCCCACTCGCATGAGATTTGCAAGAGCTCACGGTCGCATTTGCGCATCGCTGGTACGCGGAGCCTCACTCGTGCTAGTGTCGTGGGCGCTCGCGGCCCCAGACACATGAGCTTCGCAGGTGCTCGGAGCCCCACCCTCGCGAGGGCTCAGGGCCTCCCTCGCGCAAGCGTCACGGGTGCTCTCGGCCCCACTCGCGCAAGCAACATTTCACTTCTCATCCAAGAAGCTTCTTCAGTTCTTCTTCAGAACTGAAGAAGCTTCTTGGATGAGAGGCGAAACGTCTTCAAGGAAAAAACAAAGGTAGTACAGTTGCCTTTTGAAAAAGCACTTATGGGATAACCGTGACTGAGAATCTCCACAGATCTTCTGCCTGAGACTATTCGCAGATGGTTCTGGAAGCTTGAGCCTGACAGGAAGGCGGGATTTGAATCAGGGCCTGGAGACTGAAGGGAAACTGATTTGGGCTATGGCTCATACAAGTGACAGAGTTAACCATGGTTTGTGGAATAAATCACAATTACAGACAATCCTCAATTTACCATCTGTCGCTTAGCTATTGTTCAGTTATAACAGACCATCCAAAAGGGGCTTATGACCCAGATTCTGATAGTCATGTGATCACATATTGGGAGCTTAGCAATTGGCCTACATTTATGGCTGTTTCTGGCCTGCTGTGTCAAATGACCACGATTTATGTTTTTGCCAGAAAATGGCCATTGCAGACAGTGGGCTTGCTTAACAACTACAACATTCATTTAGTGACCACCACAAAAAAAAAGATCATAACATCAGGGCTGTCATAGGGTCATCGTGACATGTAACAGAAATTCAGGTTCCATAATGGTTGTAAATCAAAGACTACTACTTGTATTTGGGCTCACACATCACACTAAGGCATGTTTCCATTCCCACTTCTCAAGCTAAAATTCATTTTTAAACATGATGTGTGGCTTATGTGATCAGTATAGTCTGTTAGCCAGAATTTATGGAACATCTGTGCATCTAATGGTGATTTATTCCATAAACCACAGTTACCCAAACCACATCTTAGCACAATGCATCAATCCAGCTATTAGATGAAACGTTATATTTGACAGTAACTGCATTAACAAATGGAAGGCAAGCTTAGAGACAGGCTAATTATGAGACACTTCTAACTTTTGCTTTAATCCGTTTCTGTGATATACATTATCCTCTTATCATTATAATACAGAAACACAATACCATGTTGGCATCCAAAATCAGAAATGTGGAGACCAATCACCAAAGAAGAGGGGCAAAAAAACAACAACATGTGTTGGGGAACTGAATGAAAACAAATGAGGTTGCTTCTCTGTTGGACACATTCTGCTAATTGATGTTTGTGTACAAATGGGAAGAGCTTAATCTGTCCTCTTAACTGCTTCCTTTATCGCTGTAGTGCATAGCTAAAAAAACAGGTCTTCAAAAGGTTGACTTTGCCAAGACTCGACAACAAGACTGGCAACCTTTATCGGGAAGACGAAAGTGCACACACAGAGATAGTCGCAGCATGGAAGATGAAGGGGCCGCGGGAGCAGGTCCACTGTAGGATCCCCGCGTGTGTCAGAGAAAGTGTTCCCTATCCCATCACGCTCAGCCCTGGGAAAGTGACCGCTTGCCACAGTGTGACTGTAGATATACTGATTGTCTGATTGTCTGATTCTTGTACATCTCCACACAGTACGGCAGAGTCCCTCCTTTATTGGACTACAACTCCCATCCATTTGAGCCAGGAAGACCATCTGGAAGCCAAAAAAAGTTGGGGAAGACAGTTGCCCGTCGATATCCCTTCCAGGTTGAGCATTTGTCTAGCTGGCAAACTTTTTATGAAGTCTCCTCGTATCGCCGCTGCTCCTCTTGCAATTTGGCTAAATTCAGAGCTTCTCGGGCGTGAATCTTCTGGTGCTTCACCAAGACGGTGCGGTGGGTGAACCTCTTCCCGCAAGTGGGGCACTGGTGAGGCCTCTCCCCCGTGTGGACTTTCTGGTGGCGGATGTGGACAGCCCGATCGGAGAAGCATTTCCCACAGATGGCGCACTTGAAGGGCTTCTCGCCCGTGTGGGTCCTTTGGTGCACCATCAGAATCTGCCACTGGCTGAAGCTCTTCCCACACTCCGAACAAGTGTAGGGTCTCTCCCCGGTATGGACTCGGTGGTGCTTGACCAGCTGGGAAGACGTGTTGAAGGATTTCTCGCAATCGGGGCATTTGAAGGGTTTCTCTCCTGTGTGGGAGCCCTCGTGTTTCTTGAGGGCGGAGCTACGGCTGAAACCCTCCCCACACTGGGCGCATTTGAATGGCTTCTCCCTCACGTGGACCTTCTGGTGGTTGAGCAACTGAGACTTCTGCGTGAAGCTCTTGTCACAATCGGAGCAGCTAAAGAGCTTCTTTTCGATGTGGACTCGGTAGTGCCTGGTGAGGACCGAGCTGACGGTGAAGCTCTTCCCACACAGATCACAAGTGTACGGCCTCTCTCCCGTGTGGGTCCTTTCGTGGGCAACCAGCGTGGACTTGAAGCTGAAGCATTTCCCACAATTCTGGCACATGAACGGCTTCTCGCCCGTGTGGGTCCTCTGATGGGCAGCAAGCACCGTACTTCGGCTGAAGGTCTTGCCACACACCGCACAAGTCTTCTTTTCCCGACTTCTGTGCTGTCTTTGGACCACAGCAGGTTGACTTGAATCCCCATCTTCTTCTGCTAGAGGAAACTCTTCAGGTCTGGGTTGATCTGGGTTGTCCTCATCCTTCTGATCAGCTCCATCCCCATCTCCATCTTCTTCGGACCAATAAGGTTCTTGCAAGGAGGGCCCACACAATTTCACTGGCTCGGTGCCTTCCAGCTGGCAATCCCCTTGCCTCGTCTCAATCACCCACCTGCCATCTGTGGGGAGCATAGAGGAAAACGGATTACTCAAGCATCCAAGGAGAGCATGGCTGCCACATCAGAGCAAAGTATTATCCCAGCACCCCATTTCTAAATTGGCCAATCAGATGGCCATCAACAATGATGTTGGAAACATTTTGTTCCAAGTTTAGATAAATAAATAAAAAATCCCACCTAGATCATTCCACTAGAACAGGGGTCTCCAAACGTGGCCACTTTAAGACTTGTGGACTTCAACTCCCAGAATTCCCCAGCCAATATGGCTGGCCAAGGAATTCTGGGAGTTGAAATCCACCAGTCTTAAAGTTGCAAAAGTTTGGAGACCCCTGCGTTAGAACTGTGTTTCTCAACCTTGGCAACTTTTAGATGTGTGGACTTCAGGTCCCAGAATTCCTGAGCCAGCCACCGAGTTGCAGTCCACACATTTACCGTAAACGTTGCCAAGGTTGAGAAACACACTGCATTAGAATATGACCCTTGAGACTCAGTTATGTCCAGCTTGATGGCAGTGTGCTTTTAAAGCAAGGCTTTTCAACCAGTGGTGCGGGTACCACCTGTGGTACATTGGCACCTGGCAGGTGGTATGTGACCATCCTAGAAAAGTGGTAGCGGGAGAGGGGAATGAGCTGAACCGGTGGGAGCACCGCACAAGCCTGAACAAGAGATGGCTGGAGCTGCAGGGCTGTCAGGGCTCAGTGGAAGCGCCAGGATCAGCGCCAGGCTCCAGCTGGAGCTCGGCGCTGATCCCGGCGCTTCTGCTGAGCCCAGAAGAAGCGACGATCAGCTGCAATGTTGCAGCCTCTCCAGGCTCTTGTGATTTACATTCAGATGCTTGGCAACTGATTCATATTTATGATGGTCATAGTGTCCCAGAGTCACGCGAAGTGACCAAAACTTGCTGCGACCACCCAGCAGACGGGGGGGGGAAATAAAAACCAAACACCCCCCCACCCCACCCCCGCTGCCAATCCTCAACAGAAATGCTCACAACAATGAAAACCTCGGACAGGAGGAAGAGCGCCGCCAGGTGGGCAGGCAGGTGTCTTGCTCAGCACTTTTTTCAATGCCATTGTAACTTCGAACAGTCACTAAGCGAACTGTTGTAAGTCGAGGACTACCTGTACTTTATCACTTTTTCCCCCCTTTTTTTTTTTGGTCATCAAGTTTTTGACACCTTGCTAGGCGACTGGTGGTACTTGGATATTGCCATATCCTAAAAGTGGGACAATGGGTGAAAAGGTTGAAAAGCCCTGTTTTAAAGAACACATGAGAGATGATGGGAGATGGTATGAATCATGGCTTGAGTTAAAGGTACAAAACCAGATCACAATCTCATGCCTGAATGCAACATTATCCTTATTTACCCACACACATCGAAGAGTGAAACAACCTCCAATGTACAAGGAATCCTCGATTTACGACCACAGTTGAACCTAAAATTTCCACTGCTAAGCTGGACAGTAGTTAAGTCAGAATTGCCTCGTTTTACGACCTTTCTTGACACAATTGGTAAGTGAATCACTGCGACTGTTAATACGAATTTGGCTGTCCCGTTGACTTTGCTTCTCAAGTCACAAAAGGTAATCACATGACCCAGGGACACTGTGATCGTCATAAATATGAACCAGTTGTCCAGTGTCTAAATTCTGATCAGGTGTCCATGGGGGGGAATGTTGCAATGGTCATAATGTAAAAAAACGATTCTAAGTCACTTTTTTCAGTGTTGTTGTAACTTTGAACGGTCACTAAACAAATGGTTGTAAGTCAAGAATTATCTCTACATTGAACTGCTAAAATTTCCCAATGTAGAATAATTTAGCTCTGGTCTTAAGAAAACAGGGTGGAGAGGAGAAATCGTTGCTCAGCCCTTAGTAAGCAGAAAGTGGGAGAGAGACTCATGAGAGCCCTGTCCTTTTTTTTTTTTTAAAAAAAAAAGAGCAATAAAGGTTTGGAACAAGCTTCCATGTTTCTGTTAATTTATCCTACAAGAATCCTGCAAGTTCTGCTTCTTGACCTGGCCTACTTCGAAGGGCTGATGTTCGGTCTCAAGATTGATTCACCCTTTCACCAACATTTTCTCCGTCACTCACAGCTTGACAAAAGAAGGGAAGAGATTGTGGAATGGAATGCAAAAGTGGGAGGGACGGTGTTTAGGCAACTGAGGCGTCTTTGGAAGTTTGCAAAGACACCAAGTGTGGCTAACTGTTTTCTCATAACAAAATGCAGAGCCGAGGTGGCGCAGCAGTTAGAGTGCAACACACACACACACATTGCTTACTGGTGTACACCGCTTAGAAAGTGCTTGCACTTAAAGCGGTATATAAGTCTCATAAATAAATAAATAAATAATCAGGAGTCACGTCTGGACTACTGCAACGCACTCTACATGGGGCTACCCTTGAAAAGTATTTGGAGACTACAGTTGGTCCAGAATGCAGTCGCGCGAGTGATAGTGGGTGCTCCTCGATACATCCACGTTACACCTCTCCTCCGTGAGCTGCACTGGTTGCCTATTGGTCTTCGGGTCCAATTCAAGGTGTTGGTCATTACCTTTAAAGCCCTATATGGCTCAGGGCCAGGCTATTTGCGAGACCGCCTACTACCTCATAGTTCCCTATGTCCGGTTAGATCCCACAGGCTGGGCCTCCTTCAGGCCCCATCGGCCAAGCAGTGCCATTTGGCGGGGCCGCGGAGGAGGGCCTTCTCTGTGATGGCGCCCACGCTTTGGAACCAGCTCCCCCCGGAGATTAGGACCGCTCCCACCCTATTGGTCTTCCGTAAGCTACTTAAGACCTGGCTTTTCCGGCAGGCCTGAGGTTTATAAAACCTGACCCCTGGATGACTGTCTTTTGCATTGTTTGTTTTGTTATGTTTTATGTGTTTTTTTATTGTTAGCCGCCCAGAGTCCTTCGGGAGCGGGGCGGCTTATAAATTTTAAAAATAAATAAATAAATAAATAAGTGATTGATGAATGTATTGGGCTGTGGGTGGATCGGAGGGAAATAACTATGCCAGAATTTGCATGGGAAAGCCAGAGCTGGCTTCACTTCTTCTGTGCCAATGTAGATTTTCAGTAAAGTATTATACACTTGGGAAAATCACGTCCCAGGGGTTTCTTTGTTTGGAAATGCCAACTGGACAGTTGACATTCGGCTTAAAACAACTTCTGAAGATCCAGGCATCTCGGAGACCGCAGCACACGCCACGAGCCACTGACCTTCCGAGTCGCTGTCACCGTCCTGCTCCTGCTTGACCTCAATGGCACTGACTTGTCTCTCTCCAGCCCCTGATAGAGACTGCTCAGCCGTGGAGAACCCCGAAGACACCTCCTGCACCAAACCTGGTCCCTGAAATAAACCCTAAAATGTTATCTTCAGGAACAGGTATCAGAAGGGAAAGTAGGCTGGGGAGATTTCACCAAATGAGGACGCCAGTTTCTTCCCCCGCAAAAAGATGCAACGCATCTGGAAATCACACATGTTCCTCAAAAAGAAAAGGGTTCATACTCCTTAAAGCAGAGGTGGGGAACTAGGACCCCTTTATGACTGTAGACTTCAACTCCCAGAATTCCTGAGCCAGCCTGGGCTATCAGTCCCCATGCTGGCTCAGGAATTCTGGGAGTTGAAGTCCATATGTCATAAAGGGGCTATTGTTCCCCATGCTGGCTCAGGAATTCTGGGAATTGAAGTCCACATGTCATAAAGGGGCCATTGTTCCCCATGCTGGCTCAGGAATTCTGGGAGTTGAAGTCCACATGTCATAAAGGGGCCATTGTTCCCCATGCTGGCTCAGGAATTCTGGGAATTGAAGTCCACATGTCATAAAGGGGCCATTGTTCCCCATGCTGGCTCAGGAATTCTGGGAGTTGAAGTCCACATGTCATAAAGGGGCCATTGTTCCCCATGCTGGCTCAGGAATTCTGGGAGTTGAAGTCCACATGTCATAAAGAGAGGAGGGATTTTTTTTTAATTATTATTTTTTTCAGAACTGGGGATTCTGCTTCATTTGTCAAAATGATGGCATTTAGCCTTTGAGATTATAGGTCAGTGATGGTGAACCTTTTAGAGACCGAGTGCCCAAACTGCAACACAAAACCCACTTATGCATCGCCAGGTGCCGGGTGGGTGTGGCCCATTGGCTGGGTGTGGCCCATTGGGTGGGCGTGGCCCATTGGCTGGGCATGGCCCGTGGTGGTAACGGCAGACTGGGTGGGACTAAAAAGTTCAATCAATCAATCCCAACTTTGCAAGATCTTTTTTTTCTCGCAAGAAGTTGAAATTGACTGATTGATTGGACCTTTTTTTTTTTTTGCACATGGCGGTGGAGGCCTAAAGCAAAAAGGTTTTATAAAACCCAGCTGAAGGTCTAGGACTGGGGCAACGGCGCGCGTGCCCACAGAGAGGGCTCTGAGTGCCGCCTCTGGCACCCGTGCCATAGGTTCGCCACCACTGTTATAGGTACTCGAGTTACGACTATGAAGGAGCCTGCCCATTATGGCTGTTAAGTTGTGACAGTCGTAAAATGAGTTGATCATTAAGCAAACTCTGCACTTGTAAAGTGAGTGCTGTGGTTGTTAAGCAAACTCACAGTTCACTATGGCCCGGTTTTGCTGAAAATCCAACACAAATGTCGGCTTTCAGCAAGACCAACATAAAATGTTTTCGCATGATCATGGCACGCTACAAACGGTCATAAGTCAAGGACTACCTGCACAATAATCATGCTTCAGCAGGGCTGGACTAGAAGACCTCCAAGCTCCCTTCCAGCATTATTCTGATTCTCATCTACCTGGATGGGCTGATTTCCCACCCCTTTGGGCTCCAGCACATTCTTGGGCCCCAGCACATTCCCGTTTATACAATGTTAACTTTCTCTAAAGCAGTGGTTCTCAACCTTTTTAATGCGGCGACCCCCAACCGGTCGTAAGTCAAGGACTACTCAACCGGTCGTAAGTCGAGGACTACTCAACTAGTGCAGCAGTTTGCAGAATGGGACTTTTGGTGGGCTCAGCAGGGCAGAGACAGCCTGGACAATTCCTATTGGCCTTTGAAAGCCATTAGAATTAGACTCCATTCAAGAGAGTCTATTCTATTGGCTTTCAAAAGCCAATAGAATAAAAGGGAATAGCACAGCTAAGGAAAAGGGGGAAAAAATGGCGGACTGCGTTGTTTGGCGACCCCTGTGAAATGGTCGTTCGACCCCAAATGGGATCCCGACCCACAAGTTGAGAACCGCTGCTCTAAAGTCTTACCTCCTGTGGCCGTCCTGAGGGAAAGCCTTCAGCCAGGGCCACCGCTTGGTCACAAGTGTGGGGCTCGGCGGCTTTGACCCACCTCTGGAGATCAGAGGGCAAGATGGCCAGGAACTGTTCCAGGACCAGCAGCTCCAGGATCTGCTCCTTGGTGTGTCTCTCCGGCTTCAGCCACCGGTGGCAGAGGTACCAGAGGCGGCTGCAGGCCTCACGGGGGCCCTCAGCCTCCCGGTAACAGAACTCTCTGAAAAGGGTTCGTTGGGTGTCGGTGGCCGCTGAGTCGTCTCCCATGGCGTCCTCGCCCACCTTCCAATAGTCGTCCATCTTGGCAGGATTGGTCTGCTCGCTCACTCTTTGGGTGTCTCTGCTGAGATCCACCAATCCTTTGTATCTCCGGTAGGTTTCAGCTGCTCCTTCTAAGGAGGCCAAGCAGGCCTTGGCGTTCTCCCACGGTTCAGAAACCAGTTCCTCCTCTTTGGAGGACTGCATTGCCTTCAAAGCAGCCCGGGGATCCAAATATTTCAACCGCCGATCTCCTGCCTCGCTCTTGGCTGGTCTGGAGCCCCCCATTTTTGCAAAACCTTCCGCCTTTTCAGCTCGGAGATCCTTGGCTGTTCTTGCAGCCTTGTCCTGGGTGGCCCCAGCGTTGAGGTCCTCTTGCAATTCTCTTTCGGATTTGGCATCTGGATTTTTTCCCTTCTCCGTCATTATTTTATGTCTCATGACCCGCTTCCTTCAACTCCTGGAGAAACACAAGGTTGGAAGGTTGTTTTTAATTAGAAAGGCCAGCGTAGATGGAGAAAATTTGAACTTTGTTTAATGACTATGAACGAATCAAGGTTTAGTATTATTCTGTTATTTTAAAGAGATGGGTTGACTTTGGGATTACATCTAGATAGGGCTGATCAATATTTTGTGGCTATTAAGATATCTGTTGTCTAGTGGAAGAAGAAATAAATGAGTTTGGTATAAAACGGGGGATGTGAGAGATTAAGAATTAGAATTGATAATTTTTTGATTTAAATTTAAACTATTGTATTTGTAAACTATAAAGTTATAACACAGGTTTAACAGTGATAGAAATTTAAAACAGAAATGGAATATTTAAATATATTATGTTAACTGAGGGGAATAGAGAGGGGATAGTGAAATTTATTGAGTTGTCTTGTTTATATATATATATTCACTTTTGAATGTTTGACCACCTAACCATCACAGTGGGTCTTGAGTACTTCTTGTTTAAGAATGTTAAAAAAAACAATGTCTTTTAAAAAAGAAAAAAAGAAAGGCCAGCGTAGGCAAATAAGCTTAAATGAGTGGTTCTCAATCTGTGGGTCGGGACCCCATTTGGGGTCAAACGACCATTTCATGGGGGTCGCCAAACAACGCAGTCTGCCATTTTTTCCCCCTTTTCCTTAGCTGTGCTACTCCCTTTTATTCTATTGGCTTTTGAAAGCCAATAGAATAGACTCTCTTGAATAGAGTCTAATGCTATTGGCTTTCAAAAGCCAATAGGAATTGTCCAGGCTGTCTCTGCCCTGCTGAGCCCGCCAAAAGTCCCAGTCTGCAAATGGTGCTGCACCAGTTGAGTAGTCCTTGACTTACGACCAGTTGAGTAGTCCTCGACTTACGACCGGTTGGGGGTCGCGGCATTAAAAAGGTTGAGAACCACTGCTTTAAATAAACACGTACATATCTCCGAGAGGCATGGTGGCCTAGAGGTGGAGCTCTCCCCTCACAATCAGTTCGATCCTAGGTAGCAGCAGATATTTCTCTCTCTGGGCGCAAAGAGAAAATATCTCCACATAGGTGTCAGCTCCATTCAGTCACCCCAACTCCACCCCGATGCAAAAGATTACAGGGTTGTTAAAAGAAAAAAATACATACATATCTCCAGGCCAAATCATCCACCCGTAATTTATCAACTCCAATCAGAATTAAGAGATCCTGGATCTATGTGGTGTTGATTCAAAGCCACTAAAATCCTGCTTCCGTAAGCAAAAAATGCTAGCCAATTTGATTACAGGTAGTCCTCGACTTACAACAATCCATTTAATGACTGTTCAAAGTTACAATGGCAGTGAAAAAAGTAGCTTATGAAAAACAAAGTTTTTCACACTTTTGACCGTTGCAGCATCCCCCGTGGTCACGTGATCAAATTCAGATGCTTGGCAACTAACTCATATTTACGACGGTTGCAGTGTCCCAGGGTCATGTGACCCTTTTTGCGACCTCCTGACAAGCAAAGCCAATGGGGAAGTGAGATTCACTCAACAATCAGGTTACTAACTTAAAAACTGCATTGATTCACTTAAAAGCGGAAGCAGGAAAGGTCATAAAAGGGGGCAAATCTCAACAAGTGTCTCACTTAGGAACAGAAGTTTTGGGGTCAATTGTGGTCATAAGTCGAGGACTACATGTCCTATTTGATATTTTTTTAATACCAAATGTACAGGTATAGTATAGGGGGTACCTTGCTCAATAGTAGTAACTGTGAGAGGGATCTCGGAGTCCTAGTGGACAATCACTTAAATATGAGCCAGCAGTGTGTTGCAGCTGCCAAAAAAGCCAACACAGTGCTAGGCTGCATTAACAGAGGAATACAATCAAGATCATGTGAAGTATTAATACCACTTTACAAGGCCTTGGTAAGGCCACACTTGGAATACTGCATCCAGTTTTGGTCACCATGACGTAAAAAAGATATTGAGACTCTAGAAAGAGTACAGAAAAGAGCAACAAAGATGATTAGGGGACTGGAGGCTAAAGCAGGGGTGGAACAAGCATACGTGATAAGAACATGAGACTTAATGTACCAGGATAAAGGGTGCGACCATAGGCCTTGGAAAGAGCAAGTAAGGCGGGGTGGTTCCGGACCATTGAGATGCCCTTGAAGGTGTAACCAGCGGCCTTGGAAAGGACATACCGGGAGGAGTTACAAGATATGGACGTGAGAAGCGGGACTGTATGCCTGAGGTGAAAGGATAGAGGATTTCACGGGAAGGGTTAAATCACGGGACACCGGTTTGAAGTGGATAGCCATGGTTACTAATAATAAGACAACCTCTGTTAAATGGAACGACCAGAAAATGAGGGAGAGAAGTTATGTTAATGACCCAGTTTTGTATACGTTTAATTAAAGTCAAATTCCCGCTTATTATCCATGGGGCAAAACGATTAATGCTCCAACACTGGAAGTTTTTAAGAAGAGACTGGACAGCCACTTGTCCGAAATGGTGTAGGGTTTCCTGCCCGAGCAGGGGGTTGGACTAGATGACCTCCAAGGTCCCTTCCAACTTTACTACTATTATTATTATTATTATATAAGGAACAGTTGCTGGAATTGGGTATGTCTAGTCTAATGAAGAGAAGGATGAGAGGGGACATGATAGCAGTGTTTCAATATCTCAGGGGCTGCCCCAAAGAAGAGGGAGTCAAGCTATTTTCCAAAGCGCCTGAAGGCAGGACAAGGAGCAACGGATGGAAACTGACCAAGAGAGAAGCAACCTAGAACTAAGGAGAAACTTCCTGACAGTTAGAACAATTAATCAGTGGAACAACTTGCCTCCAGAAGCGGTGAATGACCCAACACTGGAAGTTTTTAAGAAGAGACTGGACAGCCCTTTGTCCGAAATGGTATAGGGTTTCCTGCCTGAGCAGGGGGTTGGACTAGATGACCTCCAAGGTCCCTTCCAACTTTACTTTACTACTAAAGGTTACCCCAGGATTCTAGGTTCATAATGACTTCCAAACCAGTCACCCACTTTAGTTCCTCTAATCCCGACTAGATTTGGAGAGCATGCATGCCTGTTGTGGGTTAAGGGAACGAGGTTAAGGCGATATTTGGGGACTGTTTCCTAAAAAGCAAACAAACAAAAATGTTAAAATGTTAATTTTGGATCAGTGCAAAAGGAAAGGAAGAGCTTTTACCAACAGCCTCACCTGCGTACTTAATACTTAAGGTTTTTTTTTTTCTCCTCTCTGCAGCATACAGGAAATGAATTAGAAAGGGGGCTGTCAACTAGTCCCTCACTCAGAGCCCTGTAAAACCCGCAATGCAGCCAAATCCAGACCAGGACAGCTGACCCGCTCCTGATTATTATTATTATTATTTGACCCGCTCCTGATTATTATTATTATTATTATTATTATTATTATTACTACTACTACTACTACTATTACTATTATTATTATTATTATCATCATCATCATCATCATTGCCGCCCCCGCAGGGTTCTCAGCCCTTGGTCCCCCGGCCGCGGATGCTGGGTGATGTAGTACACCTACACCTCCGGAGTGCTGCGGCTTGACGGACCGCGGCGCGCCGGGCAGGTTGCTGCCCAACCTTTGGTTAAATTCTCCTCCAGCGAAGAACCCCGCCGCCGTGCGCGCGCACGGGAATGCGTAAAAGGGCGGAGAAGGGCTTCCCTCTCCCTTCCACGCGTGGAAGGTCTCGCGCGCCGCTTTTCCCCCAACCTTTGCTAAATCGCCTCTGGCAAACAACCACCCGCCGTGGGTGTGGGCGTGCGCGTGGGAATGTGTACAAGGGCCGAGAAGGGCTCCCCTCTCCCTTTCACCCTTGCAAGGTCTCGCGCGCCGCTTTTTCCACCCGGGGCGCTTGCAAAAAGCATCTCTCCCCACGCATCCACCGCTGTCATTTACCCGGACTTTCCGACGTCACCACTCAAGCGGGGTGGACCCCGCCCTCTCTCCCCCGGCCTCTGGAAGCCCCAGCTGCCCGCTCCCCAATTGGAAAGGAAGAGGAAACGCGGCCCTTTCCTCAAGTGCCAAGCGCGCACTTTCTTCCAATGGCTTCTCTCCTCCCTTCTGGGAAGTGCATCTCGGTCAGTTTAACCCTTCGGCCTCGGGGCCTGCACCAGCAGGAAAGAAGGGGCAGGCAGAAATCCGACTGGGGAGGTGAGTCCTGACCACCCGCCAAGCTGCAGACTCAGCCAGCCTTGTCACCGATGGGTGTAATAAGAGCAGAGGCTGGCAAGTGTGATGAACAGGAAGAAAAGTTGAAACAGCTCCTGGAAAGCCTCAAAGATGCTCCAGGGCAGCATCCTAAAATTTTCTGGGATATAACAGTGTGGGGGGGGAAGGGGGGTGGTAGGATAATGGCTGGCTGGAGAATTCTGGGAGCTGAAGTCCACAAGGCTTAAAGTTTGCAGACCTCTGGTCAAGAAGATGGAGCCTAAACTGCTATAGACAATTAAGTCCCTCCAGCTAGTGGTGGTTTTCCAAGGATATAGTATATTCTTGGGATATAGATATGCAGTGCTTTTTTTTTTTTTTTTTGTCATAGAACTCACCGGAACAGAGTTCCGGCACCTTTTTTTGACAGATTTTCCAAGTTTTAAAAGTAACTTTTGAAAATTTGATGTTTGGTCCACATGAACTTGAATCGCCCTGTTGAGCGTAGCAGGTCAGCAAAATCATTAAAATGATCCATGTGGGCTGCTTGTGTGTCAGGTCCAACGCATGCGTACTTCGTCCGGCTACTTGGCTTGGGGCACTTGTGATTGGTCATGGGGTCACGCACTGAGTGCTTACTGCAGGCAACAACCATTATGTTTCGTTACACAACTGATGTGTGTGGGTGTGTGTACAGTGACTACATGCGAAAAGTAAATAAAAGATTAACAAGAGGTGAGGTCCGACACTTTTTTTCTTACAAAAAAAGCACTGTAGATATGGTATCTATATTATATATATATAATTCAGATATGGTATCTGAAATGGTATAGGACAGTGGTGGCGAACCTATGGCACGGGTGCCAGAGGCGGCACTCAGAGCCCTCTCTGTGGGCACGCGTGCTGTCACCCCAGTCTTAGGCCTTCAGCTGGGCCTTTTCGCTTTAGGCCTCTGCCGCCGTGTGCAAAAAAAAAAAAAAAAAGGTTCAATCAATCAGTCAATTTCAACTTTTCGCAGGGAAAAAAAAGATCTTGCAAAGTTGGAATTGATTGATTGAACTTTTTAGTCCCACCCAGTCTGCTGTTACCACCACAGCCACACCCAGCCATTGGGCCACGCCCAGCCAATGGGCCACACCCACCCAATGGGCCACATCCACCCAGCACCTGGCGATGCATAAGTGGGTTTTGGGTTGCAGTTTGGGCACTCAGTCTCTAAAAGGTTTGCCATCACTGGTATAGAACTCCTGCTTGAGCAGGGGGCTGGACTAGAAGACCTCCAAAGTCCCTTCCAACTCTATTCTGATTCTGATATTCTGAAGTTGCCCTCACATATTGCCCCATTTACAAGACTCTTCGCTTTCAAATTTTGTTGCTGGAGGAGACTGTTAAAAATCCCTTGGACTGCAAGGAGATCAAATCAGTCAATCCTAAAGAAAATCAACCTTTGGAAGGGTAGATCCTGAAGCCGAAACTCAAATACTTCAGTGACCTAATAAGAGACGACTCATTGGAAAAGACCTTGATGTTGGAAAAGATGGAAGGCAAAAGGAGAAGGGATGGCAGAGGAGAAGATGGTTAAATAGTGTCAGCGATGCAATGAAGACGGATTTGGGCAAAGTCCAGGTAAGAATGGAGGACCAAGGTTCCATAGGATCACGAAGAGTCAGACACAATTTAAGAGAGTGAACAACAACAAATTAGTCAAATTAGCCTGTCTCAAAGGTGCTTTTTCAAGAGGCAACTGGACTGCCTTTGTTTTGCTTGAAGATGTTTCGGTTCTCTTCCGTTCTCTTCAGTTCAGGAAAGGCTGCTGGAATTGGGTATGTCTAGTTTAATGAATAGAAGGACGAGGGGGGACGTGATAGCAGTCTTCCAATATCTCAGGGGCTGTCCCAAAGAAGAGGGAGTCAAGCTATTCTCCAAAGCTCCTGAAGGCAGGACAAGAAGCAACGGGTGGAAACTAATCAAGGAGAGAAGCAATCTAGAACTAAGGAGAAACTTCCTGACAGTTAGAACAATTAACCAGTGGAACAACTTGCTTCCAGAAGTGGTGAATGCTCCAACACTGGAAGTTTTTAAGAAGAGACTGGACAGCCATTTGTCTGAAATGGTATAGGGTTTCCTGCCTGAGCAGGGGGTTGGACTAGATGACATCCAAGGTCCCTTCAAACATTGTTGTTGTTGTTGTTCTGGAGGTGCATCCAAGAAGCTTCTTCAGTTCTTGGATGAGAAGTGAAAGGTCTTCAAGCAAAATCCAAGAAAGGCCAGGGGCCTTTTGAAAAAGCACCTTTGGGACAACCACGACCTGGATGGTTGAGAATCTCCATAGACCAGGGGTCTTCAAACCTGGCCCTTTTATGACTTGTGGACTTGAACTCCCAGAATTCCTCAGCCTTCAGAGGTTGTGGGTGCATCACTGGACGTTTTTAAGAAAAGACTGGACAGCCACCTGTCTGAAATGGTGAAGGGCAGGGGTAGGCCACCTTGGCTCTTTTATGACTCGTGGACTTCAACTCCCAGAATTCCTGGGCCAGCATGGCTCAGCTTGGAAGCCTCTCCCTTTCCCCTCAGCATGGCTGGCTCAGGAATTCTGGGAGTTGAAGTCCACGAGTCACAAAAGAGCCAAGATGGCCTACACCTGCCCTAGGCTATATAAATAACACTTAGAATAGCCCTTAGACCAGGGGTAGGCAACCTTGGCTCTTTTATGACTCGTGGACTTCAACTCCCAGAATTCCTGAGCCAGCATGGCTCAGCTTGGAAACCTCTCCCTTTCCCCTCAGCATGGCTGGCTCAGGAATTCTGGGAGTTGAAGTCCACGAGTCATAAAAGGGCCAAGGCTGCCTAGCCCTGCTCTATTCTATTCTAACCCAAGTAGCGGTAGCAATGAAGAGGCGGGGGCAGCAGGGACCTCCAGCCCCGCCCCCCTTCCCTTCTAGGAATCCGCCCGTGCGCTTTAACCCTTGGCAGCCCGGTGGGCGCCGCAGACGGTACTCCGGAGCCCCCCCCCCCAACCCTCCCGTCGCGGTCCCTGACTGCTCCTTTTGGCCAGCGGCGCTGCTGCGGCTGCTGTCTCGGCAAAGGGAGCAGCGGCAGTGAGGAGCGCAAAGCTGGGGAGGGCTTGCGGATCCCGGTTCCCCTTCGCCCTGCCTGGCGCCCCGCCGATGCTTGCAGAGCTGGAGCTGAAGCAGAGGAACGCCCGATGGCGACCAGTCCCAGGCTGTGGCGAGGGGGCGGCGGGCGGGAAGGAGACAGCGCTGCCTCCTGGCTGGGTAAGAGCTTCCTTCCTTCCTCCTTCCCTCGTTCTTTCCTTTCTCCTCCCTCCCTCCCCCCTCCTCCTTCCATCTTCCTTCCTTCTTCCCCCTCCTCCTCTTCCTTCCTTCCTCTCTCCCTTCCTTCCTCCTTCCCTCGTTCTTTCCTTTCTCCTCCCGCCCTCCCCTCCTCCCTCCTTCCTTCCTCCCCCTCCTCCTCTTCCTTCTTTCCTCCCTTCTTTCCTCCTTCCCTCATTCTTTCCTTTCTCCTTCCTTCCTCCTCCCTCCTTCCTTCCTTCCTCCTTCCCTCATTCTTTCCTTTTTCCTTCCCTCCTCCCTCCCTCCTCCTCCTTCCTCCTTCCTTCCTCCCTTCCTTCCTCCTTCCCTCGTTCTTTCCTTTCTCCTTCCCTCCCCCCTCCTCCCCTTCCTTCCTTCCCTCCTGCCCTCCCTCCTGTACAAAGTATTCAATATCCTTCAGCACTTTCTTCAGAGGAGGTAACCCTTGGATGTCCAAGAGCCCCAGTGGAAAAAATTGGCTTTATGTTTTTATCAGTATGGGTAACCATGACATAGATCTCCTCTTGAATTTACAGGTGGTGTCATGATATATATATCCCCTCACCGTGATTATCTCAGTGCCTTTCGCAAGGAAAGACACTCCGCGCAAGCAAAACCAATACCTGGTGTTGTATTAGCCTTTGGTGTCTAAATAGTGTCATTTGTTTCTTCCAGGGTTGTGTAACCTTAGACGAAGTGGCTGTGCTTTTCTCCAAAGAGGAGTGGGCGCTGCTGAAGCCTGACCAGAAAGCTCTGCACAGGGAGGTCATGAAGCAGATCAGTGGGATTGTGGCCTCTCTTGGTAAGGGATCCATCTTTCTTTTATAATAAACACCAATCACGTTTTAAGGCAGAGGTTCTCTACCTTTTTAATGCCGCAACCCCCAACCGGTCATAAGTCGAAGACTACTCAACCGGTCGTAAGTCGAGGACTAAACCAGTCGTAAGTCGAGGACTACCCAACCGGTCGTAAGTCGATGACTTTCACTGCCCGGGAACGCCGCGCATATGTGGTGCCGCCCCCTGCGCCAGCCGAGTGTAGCTGACAAGCGGCAGAGACGGAGCAGGCCGACCACCGGCTGGGCCACCAGCTGGCCCAGCCCAAGGGAGGTAAGGCACCCGCCGGGCCCCATGCGCACCAGCAACCCTCCCTGCGCCCGCCGGCCTCCCACCCCTGGCCCTCTTTTACTTACATTTTTAGTAGTTGCTCAGCAGGGAGGGGTGGAAAATTCCAGACAGCTCACCTTCGCTGCAGAAAACTTGCAGCACCGTTTGCAGAATGGGACTTTTGGCGGGCTCAGCAGGGCAGAGACAGCCTGGACAATTCCTATTGGCTTTTGAAAGCCAATAGAATAAAAGGGAGTAGCACAGCTAAGGAAAAGGGGGGAAAAATGGCGGACTATGTTTTTTGGCGACCCCCGTGAAATGGTCGTTTGACCCCAAATGGGGTCCCGACCCACAGGTTGAGAACCGCTGTTTTAAGGGATATGTTTAAATATTAAATTAGCAATATTTCAGAGGCAGAGGTCCAGCCGACTTTGTCCAATTTCAGAAAAGATTAGCCGTATTCACACAATCTATACAGATACGGTGATGAACAGGAATTTAATAAATCTAATGATTCCCTGGAAGGAACGTATGTTCAGAGGATGCAGTTACCTTAGGAAGCCTTCAAAGTCCTGGAAAAGCACAGGGAACCACCCAAAGCCATAAAGGGCGTGCTTGGCTATTTCTGTATTTCTTTATCTTATCCACTTGGTGCCAGCATCTCTTATGGCAGCGGTTCTCAACCTGTGGGTCGGGACCCCATTTGGGGTCGAACGACCATTTCACGGGGATCGCCAAAAAACGCAGTCCGCCATTTTTTCCGCCATTTTTTCCCCTTTTCCTTAGCTCTGCTACTCCTTCTTATTCTATTGGCTTTCGAAAGCCAATAGAATAGACTCTCTTGAACAGAGTCTAATTCTATTGGCTTTCAAAAGCCAATAGGAATTGTCCAGGGCTGTCTCTGCCCTGCTGAGCCCGCCAAAAGCCCCAGTCTGCAAACGGTGCTGCAAGGGGAACAGTCTGCAGAGCTTCCCTCCCTGCTGACCAACTAAAAAGTAAGTAAAAGAGGGCCGGAGGTGGGAGGCCGATGGGCGCAGGGAGGGTTGCTGGCGCACGTGGGGCCTGGCAGGTGCCTTACCTGCCTTGGGCTGGGCCAGCTGGTGGCCCAGCCGGTGGTCGCCTTGCGCTGCCGCGGCCGCCCGGGAGCACCTGGGCCTGCCTGCCGCCGCCCCGAACGGGCAGCGGCCATGTAAGCCTAGCGGGGCAGCGGCAGGCGCAGGGAGGGTTGCTGGCACGCGTGGGGCCTGGCAGGTGCCTTACCTACCTTGGGCTGGGCCAGCTGGTGGCCCAGCCGGTGGTCGCCCTGCGCTGCCGCGGCCGCCGGGGAGCGCCTGGGCCTGCCTGCCGCCGCCCCTTGCCGGCTATGCCTCAGCCGGCACAGGGAGCGGCACCATGCATCCACGGCGCTCCCGGGCCGGTAGTCCTCAACTTACGACTGGGGTCGCGGCTATAAAAAGGTTGAGAACCACTGTCTTATAGGGAAAAGTGATAGCTAAGAAAATTATAAATAGGTGTCTTATTCTCTGTTCAGGGTTCTCTCTTACTTTGAGGGGCCCATCTTTATTCAGCTGAATAAACACATATAACTTATCAAGGCAAACACTGGGACTCTGTCTTTATTGTACCGAGCCACGGCTGAAAACTGGCAGAATAGGTAGTCCTCAACTTACGACCACAACAGAGTCCAGAATTTCTGTTGCTAAGCGAGACAGTTTTTACATGAATTTTGCAACTTTTCTTGCCTGGGTTGTTAAGTGAATCATTGCAATAGTTAAGTTAGTAACACCATTGTTAAGTGAATCTGGCTTTCCCATTGACTTTGTTTGTCAGAAGGTCACAAAGAGGGAAATCACATGATCCCAGGACACTGCAACCGTCATAAATATGAATCAGTTGTCTGAATTTTGATCCGGTGACCATGGAGATGCTGCAACAGTTATAAGTGTGAAAGAGGGTCATAAGTCACTATTTTCACTGCGGTTGTAACTTCAACAATCGCTAAACAAATTGTTGTAAGTGGAAGACTACCTGTATACATAGAGCTGGGAATTGAATCCAGTTCCCCATCAGCCAGTCCGGTAGCCTACTCATTGCAGTCCCCCTATTCACAATTAACCAGTGGAACAACCTGCCTCCAGAAGCTGTGAATGTTCCAACACTGGAAGTTTTTAAGAAGAGACTGGACAGCCATTTGTCCGAAATGGTATAGGGTTACCTGCCTGAGCAGGGGGTTGGACTAGATGACCTCCAAGGTCCCTTCCAATATATTATTATTATTGATCATCGCACAGTCAGCCAGATGTTCAGACTGGATTTGGCATTTTGTCTACCTATCGAATCCTTACCCAGGACCTGGGATAGTTAGATGTGGATGTTTGATGGTATTACAGATATCGTCGCAGGATGGAAGCAGTTCCTAGTAAGGCCGCCTTTTGCAATTGACTAATAGCGAATTTGTCAATGCCAATGGTGTTCAAGTGGTGCTCCAGTTGTTTTGGGATTGCACCCAAAGAGCCTATGACTATTGGTACTACCCTTGCTTGCTTTTGCCACAGTCTTTCTATTTCTATTTGTAGGTCTTTGTATTTTGTTATCGTCTCCAGTTCTTTCTCGTCTGTTCTGCTGTCTCCAGGCACTGCCACGTCCACTATCCAGACTTTTTTGTCTTTCTTATCGACAATTGTTAAGTCTGGGGTGTTCTGTTGCAGGTGCTTGTCTGTTTGAATTCTGAAGTCCCAGAGCAGTTTAATTTTATCATTTTCTATGACTTTCTCTATTTTATGATCCCACCAGTTTTTGCTTACAGGCAAATGATATTTTTTGCAGATCTTCCAATGCACCATTGTTGCTACTTTGTCATGCCGCTGCTTGTAATCAGTCTGTGCAATCTTCTTGCAACAGCTTACCAAGTGGTCCGCTGTTTCTTCAGCTTCTTTGCATAGGCGGCACTTACTGTCTGTTGCTGTCTTCTCAATTTTGACTTTATATGCATTTGTCCTTAAGGCTTGGTCTTGTGCATCCAGAATTAGTCCCTCGGTCTCTTTCTTCAATTTTCCTGCTCACTATTATTATTATTATTATTATTATTATTATTGTCTGTCAATACCTCTGAAATATGTGATAAGATCATCCCGCTTCCCGTCTTCAATGTTTTCCATTCTTCCATCCACCTAAATCTCTCATTTTTATTATTTCATGAGAGGAAGTACAATTACAGACTTAAGTTGTGATCGATTTTTTTCCCCCTTTCTTTCACAAGGTGATGAAAGGAAGGCCAAAACTGACAGTCGGTCAATGCAAGAAAGAATCCTTATACGAAGGAAACATCGGATTTCTAGAAAGGGCTCCAATCAGAGGGCAAAAGCAGATGGAGATCCATTCTCACACGCTGGAGACAAACCCCATCAATGTTCGAAGTGCGGCAAGGGCTTCCACCGGAAGAAACACCTAGCGGTTCATAAAAAGACACACACGAGGGAGAAACCCTATAAATGCTCAGAGTGCGAGAGATTTTTCAGCTGCAACTCAGCCATCGCTCGGCATCAAAGGACTCACACAGGGGAGAGGCCTTATACGTGCCTGAAGTGTGGGAAAGGCTTCCTTTACAGTTCAGACCTGATTAGACACGGAAGGAAACACACGGGAGAGAAACCCTACCAGTGTGCCGAGTGTGGGAAATGTTTCCTCCGTAACACAAAGCTGAGTGTCCATCGAAGGACTCATACGGGAGAGAGGCCCTATAAATGCCTGGAGTGTGGGAAGTGTTTTACCGAGAGCGCTCAGTTAAGCAGGCATCAGAGAACTCACACCGGGGAGAGGCCCTACAAATGCCTGGAGTGCGAAAAGTGCTTCAACCGGAAGGAAAACCTGACCCTCCATCAACGCACTCACACAGGGGAAAAACCCTATCAATGCTCAGAATGCGGGAAACGCTTCACTTGGAACTCCCAGCTAACTAGACACCAAATCTCGCATACTGGAGAGAGGCCGTATACCTGCCTGGACTGTGGGAAATCCTTTGTCTGCAGCTCTGAGCTCCTAATCCACGAAAGGAATCACACAGGAGAGAAGCCCTATAAATGTCCGGAGTGCGGGAAGTGCTTTGTTTGTAACACGCAACTCAGTATCCATCGGAGAACCCACACCGGAGAGAGACCCTACAAATGTCCGGCGTGCGAAAAATGCTTCAATCGGAAAGAAAATCTTGCTATCCATCAGCGTACTCACACGGGGGAAAAGCCCTACAAGTGCTCGGATTGTGGGAAGTGCTTCAGTTGGAATTCACAACTGTGTAGACACCAACGAGCTCACACTGGCGAGAGGCCCTTTGCGTGTCTGGAGTGTGGGAAACGCTTCCTTTCCAGTTCGGACCTGATCAGGCACGGAAGAAATCATACGGGAGAGAAACCTTACAAGTGCTCGGAGTGTGGAAAGTGTTACATTTGTAATACCCAGCTGACTATACACCAGAGAACTCACACGGGGGAGAAACCCTACCAATGCTTGGAGTGTAGAAAAAGTTTCAGCGAGAGTAGCTCCCTCACTTCCCATTACCGGATCCACACTGGAGAGAAACCCTACAAATGTCTGGAGTGCAAAAAATGCTTTGCTCGTGGTTCTGACCTTATTAAACATGAAAAAATTCACATGGGGAAGAAACCCCACCAAGTTACGGACCGTGGAAAGAAGAGCTTTCACCAGAAGGCAAATCTTGCTTCTCATGTAAGAATTCAGACTAGGGAGAAACCGGATTGAGGATATAGGACAGTGTTTCTCAACCTTGACAATTTTAAGGCATGTGGACTTCAACTCCCAGAATTCCACAGCCAGCAATGGAATTCTGGGAGTTGAAGTCCACATGCCTTAAAATTGTCAAGGTTGAGAAACACTGATATAGGATGAAGCCCATTAAGAAATATTAACATATATTTTAATCTTAATCAAAATGTCATGGTTCCGACAAATGAAACACTTCAAAGAACTTCCAGGCATGTCTATCCCAAAGCCTTTATTACCAGTGTTACAAATTGACAGCACATCATGGAGGTTTATGCCAGAATCTGAATTCCTCTTGCTGGCATCTAACTTTTCTTGCTAAACCCCTCCCTTATCTTGCAGTCACAAGTCACATCTTCCAATTAGCCCAGAGGGCAGAGATTTACTTCCTTTCCTTTTCCCTGGCTTTTGTTATTTCCCCTCCCTTTTCTCTATCATCTGAATTAACTCTAAAAATACCAGACAGTTCTGCATATTTTGTCAAAGCAAGAATATTCAATATTAGCAACATTGACACAAAAATTCAATTTTATAATCCCTGCTTATCCCCGTCTCTGTGAAATAAAGCAGAAGAAATCTCTCCCCACTTATAAATAAATCTTTGAAGCTGTGTCACAGACCTCTGGTCAAAAAAGCAGCCCCATTAACAGCTACCAGAAATTGTAATATATGTCTTTTGACAAAACCTTTTCAAAAATGTAACCAAGAAAAGGGTAGAGATTCATCCAGGCAGTCGCCAGAAATCACAAATCAGTTGGAGGTGCATGTGGGCACACACAATCACAAACGGTGCGGAAGAGCTGGTATGCTGAGTCTTGTTAAGTCCAGAATGTGGTTTATGATTGCAGAAAGCCCAACCTCTCAGCAATTTTCCATCATTCCATAAAAATAAAATTGGATGGAATTTTCTGTCAGAAAATCTTTTCAGCCCCAGAGATTAAATTCTTCTCCCTCATCATTAACAGCCCTTTGTTTTCCTTCCTTCCTTCCCTTCCTTCTTTCCTTTCCTTTCTTTCCTTTGTTCTTTATGCCATCCGTCTTGCAAATTTGCAGGATTCTTTTTTTCACTATGTATATGTATACATTTGAACTAGACTGATGTTTCTCTGTGTCTGTGTGTGTGTGTGTATGCAAAACAGCATTTGAGAGCTGAATGCAGTGAAATTGCATTTTAATGTATGCTTAGTGTGCATTTAAAGCGACAATAAAGAATTCTAATCTAATCAAATTCTATTCTTTCTTCCTTTCTCCCTCCAGTCAGTCAATCAGTGAGTGACTCAGTCATTCTTTTTTGGTGATATCTTAAGTGGCCATTAAAAGTATCAAATACATAGCTTTGTCAAAAGGAATATTTGACATTTCTCGGCAGCTTTTATATGAAGCAATAACTCAATCCAGATAAATACACCGAAGCCACTGGCAGGTGGGCAGGGAGGCAAACTCTTTCATTATAAGGGTATCTAAAATGTCTGGTCAAAAACGTCAAAATGGCCACAAAACTGCAATTGAAGCTGTGCCTGTTTTTTATGGGCATCCAATTGCATCGTCAATGGTCTCCCACTTGACCTTTGTCCTGCAGACACAACCGCTCTCATAAATGCTAGATTGTTCTGGCACTCATCTTACGTTAACCTGCACATGATTCCTCTCTGGGTATACCAGGCTGGCAGGATATGTATATGTATATACTGTATGTAAAGATAAGGTGACCAACCGTCCTCCTTTCGGGAGGACAGTCCTCCTTTTGTAAGTTCTGTCTTCCCTCAAAAAGTGTCCTTCTTCATGTCCTCCTTTTCAATTTTTAAAGACTAATCTTCAGGGCTTTTTTTTTCCTCATAGAACGCTCAGAACGGCGTTCTGGCACCTTTTTTTGATGGTTTTTTTTTTCAATTTTTGCATGAGCTGTGCTACTCCCGCTATTGCAGTGTTTCTCAACCTTGACAATTTTAAGGCATGTGGACTTCAGCTCCCAGAATTCCACAGCCAGCATTGCTGGCTGTGGATTTCTGGGAGTTGAAGTCCACATTCCTTAAAATTGTCAAGGTTGAGAAACACTGCGCTATTGGCTTTCGAAAGCCAATAGGAATTGCTGCTGAGCGCGCCAAAACACCCGGCTGGCAAACTTTGCACATGCAAGTTGTCTGTATTATTGTTGCAATGAATAAAATGTTCATTTTATTTACGATATTTTTTTCTTCAATTTATTTGTGTCCTCCTTTTCATTGTAAAAAAGTTGGTCACCTTAGTAAAGAGGTAGTGTTCAGCTTACAAGAGTGGCTTAACGTCCGTTCAAAGTTACAGTTGCATTGAAAAAAAAGTAACTTAGGACCATTTTTCACTTAATGACTGTTGCAGCATCCCCATGGTCATGTGATCAAAATTTGGACCCTTGGGCAATTTGCACATATTAATGATGGTTGCCATATCTCAGGGTCACGTGATCATCTTGTCCAACCTTCTGGCAAACAAAGTCAGTGAGGAAGCCACATTCCCTTAACAACCGTGTTGCTAATTGGAGGGATGTTCCTTGGGGATAGTGGGATCCTGAATGAAGAGTTAAGGAAGTTAATAGGTCTCTATACTAAAAATCAAAAATCTCTGGCTGTAAAAGCTGCAGTGGGGAGGTGGGCAGTACAGGCGGAGAAAAGGGCAGCTTTTCAGTCACAGACTTATTTGATTACATATTTGTGTCTGTCTAGTCCAGTGTTTCCCAAACGTGACCATTTTAAGGCATGTGGACTTCAACTCCCAGAATTCCACAGCCAGCAATGCTGGCTGTGGAATTCTGGGAGTTGAAGTCCACATGCCTTAAAATGGTCACGTTTGGGAAACACTGGTCTAGTCCAGGGGTAAGCCACCTTGGCTCTTTTATAAGGTGACCAACCGTCCTCTTTTTGGGAGGACAGTCCTCCTTTTTTAAGTTTTGTCCTCCCTCAAAAAGTGTCCTCCTAGATGTCCTCCTTTTCCATATTTGAAGACTAATTTGTAGGGCTTTTTTTTTACTCATAGAATGTTCAGAAGGCGTTTCGGGACCTTTTTTTGATGTTTTTTTTCAACTTTTGCATGAGCTGTGCTACTCCCCCTACTGGCTTTCGAAAGTCAATAGGAATTGCTGCTGAGCACGCCAAAACATCCGGGCAGCAAACTTTGCAGGAACTTTGCACCCCTCACTGCTACCCACCTACACCATCTCCTACTTAATTCCAAAGATTGCTGCAGGAGACTGGAGCGGTAAGTTTCTCTTGATCTTCCCTGTTCGGTTCTACATGGGGATACACAGGGTAGGCGGTGGTGCTGGGGGGGCGGCTGGGGGTGTGGCTGCAGGGCCGGAGCTGGCGCAGCTGGTGCTTTGCGAGCCGCGGGGCTGGCTCTACAGGGATGTGCAGGGTGGGGGCGGTGGTGCTGGGGGGGTGGCTGCAGGGCCGAAGCTGGCACGGCTGGTGCTTTGCAAGCCACGGGGCCGGCTCTCCACGGCAGGGCAGCGGTGCTGGCGGGGTGGCTATGGGTGGGGCCGCAGCGGGCAGTTGACCTTCCATGGGCCACGCCAGCTGGTGGTCTACGCAGTGCTGACCTGCGCTGCCACCACCTCACCCTGCGCGCCTACGTGGCCGTCCTGGAGCGCCTGGCGTGCAACACCTGCCTCTGCCACCCACCCCATGCAGTACTCATTTAAATAATAATTAATAGGCATGTAAGCATAATTACAATATAAAATTGTATTGTTACAAATGTTTTTTATTATGCATTTATCATATTATAGCGTATTCTGTATTACTGTTGCAATAAATACAATGTTTCTTTTATTTACGATATTTTTTTCTTCAATTTATTTGTGTCCTCCTTTTCATTGTAAAAAAGTTGGTCACCTTATCTTTTATGACTCGTGGACTTCAACTCCCAGAATTCCTGAGCCAGCCATGCTGAGGGGAAAGGGAGAGTTTCCAAGCTGAGCCAAGCTGGCTGAGGAATTCTGGGAGTTGAAGTCCACGAGTCATAAAAGAGCCAAGGATGCCTACCCCTGGTCTAGTCCAATACCTAACCTAAAACATAAGCCAGAACCAAAATCGTTCTCAGATAATCAATTTTGTGTTAGGTACTGGACTAGAAAGCAGGACTCTGTGAGTTCTAGGCTTCTCTTAGTCCTGAAAGCCAGCTGAGTTGGTCCACTCATCCGAAAGTCATGAGACTGAGAAACACTGATATAAATTTATTTAACCAACCAATAAACAAGTATTTGGTTTAACACAGAATAATTGTGTTTATTCCAAACATCAGGCAGACGGTCTAGCTGAAAGACAATTATCCAGCAATTAGTTATTTCTCTACTAGGGATGATACGATAGCAATCTTCCAATATCTAAGGGGCTGACATAAAGAAGAGGGGGTCAACCTGTTCTGCAAAACACCAGAAGACAGTACAAGAAGCAACAGATGGAAACTAATCGAAGAGGGATCTAACCTAGAAATAAGGAGAAATTTCCTGAGAGTGGGAACACTTAATCAGTTGAAAGACTTGCCTCCAAAAATAGAATAGAACAGAATTCTTCATTGGCCAAGTGTAATTGGACACACACAAGGAATTTGTCTCCGGTGCATAAGCTCTCAGTGTACATACAAACAAGTGATAATCACAATCATAATCATAAGATACAATCATCACTGGAGGTTTTTTAAGAAGAGATTGGACAGCTATTTGTCTGAAATAACAGAATTACAGAATAGCAGAGTTGGAAGGGACCTTGGAGGTCTTCTAGTCCATGAGTCATAAAAGAGCCGAGGTTGCCTACCCCTGCCCTATACCCTATACCAGGGGTAGGCAAGCTTGGTTCTTTTATGACTCGTGGATTTCAACTCCCAGAATTCCTGAGCCAGCCATGCTGAGAGGAAAGGGAGAGGTTTCCAAGCTGAGCCATGCTGGCTCAGGAATTCTGGGAGTTGAAGTCCATGAGCCATAAAAGGGCCAAGTTTGAAGACCCTTGTCCTAGACCAGTGGTTCTCAGCCTGTGGGTCAGGACCCCATTTGGGGTTGAACGACCATTTCACGGGGGTCGCCAAACAACGCAGTCCGCCATTTTTTTCCCCTTTTCCTTAGCTGTGCTACTCCCTTTTATTCTATTGGCTTTTGAAAGCCAATAGAATAGACTCTCTTGAATAGAGTCTAATTCTATTGGCTTTCACAAGCCAATAGGAATTGTCCAGGCTGTCTCTGCCCTGCTGAGCCCGCCAAAAGTCCCATTCTGCAAATGGTGCTGCACCAGTTGAGTAGTCCTCAACTTATGACCGGTTGAGTAGTCCTTGACATACGACCGGTTGGGGGTTGCGGCATTAAAAAGGTTGAAAACCACTGTCCTAGACAGTCACTTTTCTGAAATGGTGTAGGGCAGGGCTAGGCAACCTTGGCTCTTTTATGACTCGTGGACTTCAACTCCCAGAATTCCTGAGCCAGCATGGCTCAGCTTGGAAACTCTCCCTTTCCCCTCAGCATGGCTGGCTCAGGAATTCTGGGAATTGAAGTCCACGAGTCATAAAAGAGCCAAGGTTGCCTACCTCTGCATACCTATACCATTCCAGACAAAGTCTTTCTTGAGCAGGGGGTCGGACTAGAAGACCTCCAAGGTCCCTTCCAATTCTGCTATTCTGTCATTCCTTGATGCCACCAAATCTTGAGGCGGAGCTTGACTTAAGCATGCATAGGATACAGGGCATCGCATCCTAGAGCTCTTCGGTCCTCGAGGGGTTAAAGAAACAAAAGAGGAGTTCCTAGAGAGGAGGGAACTGGGGTGGTGGTGGGAGGAAGTGGAGGACTGAGTCTTTCCAGCGAAGGCACGCCCTGCTTCTGGCAGAAATGCAGGAGGCGCGAGGTTGGCGTCACTGCACCGTGCAGGTTGCGTCCTTTGCTTGCAAACTCCGGCAGGCAGCAGGAAGAGCTGCAGCCTCTGATCGCCTCTCCGAAAAGCATCTGGTAAGAACCTGTTTGCAGAGCAATCCAGTGCATCCTAACCCAGGTGGGAGGCGTTGTCTGCATCAGCACCTTTGGCCATCGCGGGCTAGGCGTGCAACCTGCTCAGTTTTGCCAGTCACCTGGCGGGTGGGTGAAGGTTAGACTTGAATCCAGGTCTTTCCGGTCCAATTGATGAGGGGTTGTTGATCAAGTCGGTGTCGACTGAGAGCGACCACACAGCTAGAGAGATTTTTCTCCTGGATTTTCTCTGTCCTTAAGCCGATCCTTCGGGTCTTCCAACCTAGAACTAAGGAGAAATTTCCTGACAGTTAGAACAATTAACCAGTGGAACGACCTGACTCCAGAAGCGGTGAATGCTCCAACACTGGAAGTTTCTAAGAAGAGACTGGACAGGCATTTGTCTAAAATGGTTTACTTGACAAGGGTTTATTTTTTTTTTAAGATAAGGTTTGCCATTTCCTTCTTCCCAGGGCTGAGAGAGAGAGTGTCTGGCCCAAGATCACCCTGCTGGCTTTGTGCCTAAGGCAGAACTAGAATACACAGTCTTCTGGTTTCTAGCCTTGTGCCTTAGCCACTACACCAAACTGGCGGTCATAAATATAAACTAGAAATTAAGAAAAATAAGAGAATTCCATCAGTATTTCTCCCCATCACCTAGGTCAGGAGTAGGCAACCTTGGCTCTTTTATGACTCGTGGACTTCAACTCCCAGAATTCCTGAGCCAGCATGGCTCAGCTTGGAAACCTCTCCCTTTCCCCTCAGTATGGCTGGCTCAGGAATTCTGGGAGTTGAAGTCCGCAAGTCATGAAGGGGCCATAGTTCCCCCATGCTGGCTTAGGAATTCTGGGAGTTGAAGTCCATGAGTCATAAAAGAGCTGAAGTTGCCCATCCCTGCCCTACACCATTTCAGAGAAGTGACTGTCTAGGACAGGGGTCTTCAAACTTGGCCCTTTTATGACTCGTGGACTTCAACTCCCAGAATTCCTGAGCCAGCATGGCTCAGCTTGGAAACCTCTCCTTTTCCCCTCAGCATGGCTGGCTCAGGAATTCTGGGAGTTGAAGTCCAGGGGTCATAAAAGAGCCAAGGTTGCCTACCCCTGACCTAGAGAAATGCTAAGGAGATAAATTAAAGGTATAACAATGAATTCTCCTTTTTAAATCTCAGCAGCTTCAACTGTGCATGGACTTCAACTCCCAGAATTCTGTAGCCAGACACCGATTGGAGAATTCTGGGAGTTGAAGTCCACACATTTTAAAGTTGCTGAGATTAAGAAATAGTGACCCTAAATTTAGCTGGCAAAGCCTCACTACCCAACAGTCAGGTTGGCCTCTAGAAAATTTGTCCCTTAGCTATCTGGCCTTTGCCTGCCTCGTCTTACTGCAGAAATAGTCCTCAATTTACAACAGTTCATTTAGTGACCGTTCAAAGTTACAACAGCACTGAAAAAAGTGACATGACCATTTTTTTCACGCTTACGACCATTGCAGCCTCCCCACGATCACACAATCTAAATTTGGACACTTGGCAATTGGCACGTACTTGTGACGTTTATAGTGTCCTGAGGTCATGTGATCCCCTTTTGCAAAAGTCAATAGAAAAGCCAGATTCACTTAACAACCGTGTGACTAACTCAACAACTGCAGTGATTTACTTAACAATTGTGGCAGGAAGGGTCGTAAAATGGGGGCAAAACTCACTTAACAACTGTCTCGCTTAGCAACAGAAATTTTGGGCTCGGTTGTGGTCGTTAAGCCGAGGACTACCTATATTCCCCTGCTTTCTCAGAGATACAAATTGTGTCTCCCCTCGGCTTTACAGGGCTGGGTCCACACACTGAAGTCACTTTAAAAAAGCAGCAAGCGATTCTCTGGCCATGTTAAGCATTGTCCAGTCAAATCTACGGCGACCGAACGTCGATGGCCCCCAAGCAAAACGTGCCGTTCCTTGCAGTCAGGTGGGTAGCAGTGCCCAAATTTGGGCAGCGACCATTGATAACGTCTCAGGAGGCCCTACGCCGAGTCTGAGCACACAGCCTCAGCCCTTCCGGCAGTTTTGCTATCGGGAAGTTGAGGGTCCCCGAGAGACTTGCAGTCGACTCCACGAGCTTTGTCGTCTGTGGTTGAAGCCGGAACATCACACCAAAGCGGAGATCTTGGATCTGGTGGTGCTGGAGCAGTTTCTGACCGTCTTGCCCCCAGAGATTGAGGGCTGGGTGAGACAGTGTGGGGCAGACACCAGTTCTCAGGCGGTGGCCCTGGCTGAAGGCTTTCTCCTGAGCCAAGCAGAAGACAGGAAGCAAGAAGATCAAAAGGTGAGGGAGATGCCTCCTGGCTGATTGGAGAGGTGGGTGAATTGTCCTGGAGGTCCCCCTTTTCCTAACTCCATCAGATTTTTCTGGAAATCGTCTCTGGAGGAGATTGAGGAGATCCTTCCCCCCCCTCCCCAGAATCTTGTCCTCTTTCTAATCTCTGCCCTTGGGTGATTCTCTCTCTGGTGCAGAAGCATGTCGCTGAAGTGGCTCCACAGTGGATCTTAGAAGGAGATCATCGAGATGGTATATCACTGGGTAAGGAATATGAAGTCATTTTCTAACTCAGTTTCCCCCCCCCTTCTTGATTTTCTTCAAAGATAATAGTAGTAGTAGTAGTAATAGTAGTAGTAGTAAAGTTGGAAGGGACCTTGGAGGTCATCTAGTCCAACCCCCTGCTCAGGCAGGAAACCCTACACCATTTCGGACAAATGGCTGTCCAGTCTCTTCTTCAAAACTTCCAGTGTTGGAGCATTTACTGCTTCTGGAGGCAGGTTGTTCCACTGATTAATTGTTCTCACTGTCAGGAAGTTTCTCCGTAGTTCTAGGTTGCTTCTCTCCTTGATTAGTTTCCATCCATTGCTTCTTGTCCTGCCTTCAGGCACTTTGGAAAATAGCTTGATTCCTTCTTCTTTGTGGCAGCCCCTGAGATATTGGAAGACTGCTATCATGTTCCCCCTCGTCCTTCTCTTCGTTAAACTAGACATACCCAATTCCAGCAACCGTTCCTTATATGTTTTAGCCTCCAGTCTCCTAATCATCTTTGTTGCTCTTCTCTGCAGTGTCCCAGAGTCATGTGATTCCCCCTTTTGTGACGCGAGAAGCCAGATTCACTTAACAACTGTGTTACTAATTTAACAACTGACCCTGACAAGAAAGGTCATAAAATGGAGCAAAACTCACTTAACAAATTTCTCACTTAGCAATTGTGACAATTGGGCTCAATTGTGGTCTTAAGGAGGACTATCTGTATTGAACTTGAAAAATACGCTCCCGTGATCATGACCACGGTGATTGGCAACTGGCTCGCACTTACAGTAGTGGCCAAAATTGTGGAAACCTTTTGGGAAAAGTGTATTTTTGAAGTTTGATGTCTAATAACATCCCTTTTTTGGGGGGGAGTGGTACCATAAAATTATATATATCAATGGAAAGATAATTTAATCAAGAATGTAATGCAACAAAGTTTGTTCAATTATCTGTATTGTATTCTTTGAAAAGTTATAGCCAAATAACCAGAAAAAGGAAGCACAACTTGCTTAGGTTGATATCAGGTAGCTTTCCTTCATCCGATGGTAGCCAATGAGCATGAGTGTTTAGAGAGCCAATCGGGTGTCATCTTGTTTTGGCAATAAGCCAATCAGATCACAGTAGAATTCAATTATTGATGTCATGTATTGAAGCTGAGAGGAGAACCTTTGCCAGTGTGTTAGGCCAGTGTTTCCCAAACTTGACAATTTTAAGGCATGAGCGTTGCTGGCTGTGGAATTCTGGGAGTTGAAGTCCTCATGCCTTAAAATTGTCAAGTTTGGGATACACTGTGTTAGGTGATCGCTATCAAGTTGCTTGGGTTTTTTTTTTGTGTGTTCTTTCATTGAGTGAGCTTGTAAAATGTAATAAAATTAAAGTAATGGTGCAAAGAGTTGACTGGTTGCCCAGAAAGCAATGTAAAATAGTATTATTAAGTGAACAAGGCTACAGTTATAAAGAAATTAGAAGAAAAATGGGTGGAAACTAATCCAAAGGTGGCATTTCTATTGTACACTTTTCCCAAAAGGTTTCCACAATTTTGGCCACTTCTGTATGATCAGTTGTAACACCTGCTGTCATGTATTGCAACCTTCCCTGCAGGCTTCCCCAGAAAGTCATTGGGGAAGCTGGCAGGGAAGGTCATAAGTCACCAGAGTAAGTTTCTCCTCTACACAGGTAGTCCTCGGCTTACGACCACAATTGAGGTCCAAATTTCTGTTGTTAAGTGAGACATTTGTTAAGTGAGTTTTGCCCCATGATATGATTTTTCTTGCCATAGTTGTTAAGTGAATCACTGCCGTTGTTAAATTAGTAACACGGTTGTTAAGTGAATTTGGCTTCCCCACTGACTTTGCTGGTCAGGAGGTCAGAAGAGGGGATCACGTGACCCCAGGACACTGCAACAGTCATAAATATGAGTCAGTTGCCAAATGTCTGAATTTTGATCACATCCTGGGGGCGCTGGAAAGGGTCGTAACTCACATTTAAGTAAGCCAAATTTTTCAGTGCCGTTGTAACTTTGAACAGTCGCTAAATGAACTTTCCTTCCTTCTCTTCCCTTTCTTTTCTTCCTTCCCTTCCTTTCCTTCCTTCCCTTCCTTTTCTTCCTTCCTTTCTTTTTCTCTTTTTCTCTTCCTTCCTTCCTCCCTTTCTCCCTTCCTTTTTCTTCCTTTCCTTCCTCCCTTCCTTTCTTTCTTCCTTCTTCCTTTTCTTCCCTTCTTTCTTTTTCTCTTTTTCTCTCCCTTCCTTCCTTCCTTCCTCCCTTCTCTTCCTTCCTCCCTTTTCTTCCTTCTTTCCTCCCTTTCTCCCTTCCTCCCTTCCCTTCCTTTTGTCCTTTCCTTCCTCCCTCCCTTTCTCCCTTCCTTCCTTCCCTTCCTCCTTTCTTTCTTTCCCTTTCTTCCTTTCTTTCCTCTCTTCCTTCCCTTCCTTCTTTAAATTCCTTTCCTTCCTTCTCTTTCTTTCCTTTCCTTCCTTCCTTCCTTCCTTCCTCCCTTCTTTCCCTTCCTTCCTTAAATTCCTTTCCTTCCTTCTCTTTCTTCCCTTTCTTTTCTTCCTTCCCTTCCTTCCTTCCCTTCCTTTTCTTCCCTTCTTTCTTTTTCTCTTTTTCTTCCTTCCTTCCTCCCTTTCTCCTTTCCTTCGTCCCTTCCCTTTCTTCCTTTCCTTCCTCCCTTCCTTTCCTTCCTTCCCTTCCTTTTCTTCCCTTCTTTCTTTTTCTCTTTTTCTCTCCCTTCCTTCCTTCCTCCCTTCCTTCCTCCCTTTTCTTCCTTTCCTTCTTTCCTCCCTTTCTCCCTTCCTTCCTCCCTTCCCTTCCTTTTGTCCTTTCCTTCCTCCCTTCCTTTCCCTTCCTTTCCTTCCTCCCTTCCTTTTCTTCCCTTCTTTCTTTTTCTCTTTTTCTCTCCCTTCCTTCCTTCCTCCCTTTTCTTCCTTTCCTTCTTTCCTCCCTTTCTCCCTTCCTCCCTCCCCTTCCTTTTGTCCTTTCCTCCCTCCCTCCCTTTCTCCCTCCTTTCTTTCTTTCTTTCTTTCTTTCTTTCTTTCTTTCTTTCCCTTTCTTCCTTTCCTTCCTCTCTTCCTTCCCTTCCTTTCTTAAATTCCTTTCTTTCCTTCTCTTTCTTTTCTTCCCTTCTTTCTTTTTCTTTTTTTCTCTTCCTTCCTTCCTCCCTTTCTCCCTTCCTTTGTCCCTTCCCTTTTCTTCTTTTCTTTCCTCCCTTCCTTTCCTTCCTTCCTTTTCCCTTCCTTTTCTTCCCTTCTTTCTTTTTCTCTTTTTCTCTTCCTTCCTCCCTTTTCTTCCTTTCCTTCTTTCTTCCCTTTCTCCATTCCTTCCTCCCTTCCCTTCCTTTTGTCCTTTCCTTCCTCCCTCCCTTTCTCCTTTCTTTCTTTCTTTCTTTCTTTCTTTCTTTCTTTCTTTCTTTCTTTCTTTCTTTTTCTTTCTTTCCCTTTCTTCCTTTCCTTCCTCCCTTCCTTCCCTTCCTTCCTTAAATTCCTTTCTTTCCTTCCTTCTCTTTCTTTTCTTCCTTCCCTTCCTTTCCTTTTCTTCCTTCCCTTCTTTCTTTTTCTCTTCCTTCCTTCCTGCCTGCCTGCCTGCCTGTAGAAATGAACATGAAGCTTAGTTTGTCTCTCTACCTAATTTCCGTCAGAAGATACTCCCTTTCTTCAGCAACATATAAACACATACAAGGAGTCCATGACTTAGGATCATAACTTGGATCAGAAATCTGGTTGTGAGTCAAGGCACCCACCTGACTAGACCCATTTTTTCTACTTTTTTTTCTGGTGGTTGTTAAGTGAATCGTAGCGGTGGTTAAACAAACCCCTTCTTCCAAATAGTTGTGGGGTTTTTTTTTTTGTTTTTTGGCCAGAAACTGGCAAAACATGTCGTAAATCATGGTCAGGTGAGCATGGGAAACCGCATCCGGTCCTAAAGGTGAGCTGGTTGCCAAGCGTCCTGTGACTGCAGTGGGGAGGGACATTTTACACAACTCTTAACGCATCTGTTGTAACTCCGAAAGTTCATAAAATGACCGGCCGTGATCCAAAGATTCCCCATATCTTAGGTGTCAAACTCAATTTCACTGTGGGCCGCCTCAGCATTGCGGTTGCCCTGGGGGTGTGTGGCCAGAGTGGGTGTGGTCTACTGGGTGGGTGTGGATGGAGTGGGTGTGGCCTACTGGTTGGGCGTGGCCAGTTCTACATCATTCATGTCAAGGGTGCCTGTGGGGGACCTGGGCAGGAGTGGGACAGATCTGAGGGTCTCTGCCAGAAGGGGGTGGGACCGGGGCAAGCACCAAAGCATGGTCCACTGGGGCAAGTGCCAAGATGGCCACCACAAAATTGTACATTGGCTCCTGGCTGGCCTGGGCCAGGGCAGAGGGGGCTGTTCCCTCACCGTTTCCAGGATGGCTTCGCGGGCCACATGAAACCACTTCGCGGGCCGCATCCGGGCCCCGGGCCTTGTGTTTGACATGTCTGTCTTAGAAAATTTTGGACATTTTGCCTAGAAGTGGGGAGTGGGGTTGGTGGTTTGTCCCTGACTAAAATAAATATCCCCTATATTTGTCCCTTTCTAGGAATGACACCGAAGCCGACTGGCTTACGCTCCTGTTTGTCTCTTGATGGTTCGGTGGAAACGTGTCCTTTGCCACAGGACCAGGTACGTGAGAAACAACGTCCAGTGACAGCTAGGCTGATTCCTCTCTTACTTTCCCTCCATCACGCTCTCTCAGCTCCCACTGCAACAGGAAGTCCACGGGTGGGAAGCTGATGGGGTAGCAGTAGTGGCGCAGTGGTTAGAATGCAGTCCAAGTAGTCCTCAGCTTATGACTACAATTGGGCCCCCAATTTCTGTTGCTAAGCGGAGACATTTGCTAAGTGAGTTTTGCCCCGTTTTACGACCTTTCCTGCCTCGGTTGTTACGTGAACCCGGCTTCCCCGCTGGCTTTGCTTATCAGACGGTCGCAGAAGGGGATGCCCTGACTTTGGGACACTGCAACCGTCATAAATACGAACCTGTTGCTCAGCATTTCAATTTTGATCACATGATCGTGGGCGCGCGGCAAAGGTCGTAACTCTGAAAAACATTTAAGTCGTAAGTCCACTTTTGTCCGGGCCGTTGTAACTTTGAATGTTCACTAAATGAACTGTTGTAAGTTGAGGATTTCCTGTATTGCAGGCAAACTCTGCATTCCACAGTCGGGAGTTCGATCCCGACCGGCTCAAGGTTGACTCAGCCTTCCATCCTTCCCAGGTCGGTAAAATGAGGATCCAGATTGATGGAGGCAATAGGATGACTGTGTAAACCGCTTAGAGCAGACATGTCAAACACAAGGCCCGGGGGCCGGATGTGTCCTGCGAAGTGTTTTCATGTGGCCCGCGAAGTCATCCTGGAAACAGTGAGGGAACGGCCCCCGCTGCCTTGGCCCTGGCCCAGGCCAGCCGGGAGCCAATTTTGTGGTGGCCATTTTGGCACTTGCCCCCGTGGACCATGCCTTGGCACTTGCCCCGGTCCCACCCCCTTCTGCCAGAGACCCTCAGATCTGTCCCACTCCAGCCCAGGCCCCCCACAGGCACCCTTGACACGAATATAGAACTGGACATGCCCACCCAGTAGGCCATATCCACTCCATCCATGCCCACCCAGTAGGCTGCACCCACTCTGGCCACCCCCCCCCCCCCAGGGCAACCACAATGCTGATGCGGCCCTCAGTGAAATTGAGTTTGACACCCCTGGCGGTATATAAGTCTCAGCGCTATTGCTATTCGTAACTTCTATTCTGCAACCCTCCACCAGGTGGAGCTCTCTAGACAGGTTGGGGCTGAGCCCCCAGTTTTGCCAACTGGACCTGCTGAGAACGATTGGTGTTGTAGTCCCAGCCTGTCTGCAGGGCACCGAATTGCCAAAGGGAGTTTAATTAATAATGCTCACTGCAGCTTGACCAAGACTTTGCCCATAGGGGAAGCCTGGCATGGGATGAGTACGAAGGAAATATCTTTCTTTCTTTCTTTCTTTCTTTCTTTCTTTCCTTCTTTCTTTCCTTCTTTCTTTCCTTCTTTCTTTCTTCTCTTCCCTTCCTTTCCCTCTCCCTCTTTCTTTCTTCCTTCTTTCCTTCCCTCCCCTTTCCCTCTCTCCCTTTCTTTCTTTCTTTCTTTCTTTCTTTCTTTCTCTCTCTCTCTCTTTTTTTCTTTCTTTCTTTCTTTCTTCCCTTCCCTTCCCTTTCTTTCACTCTTTCTTTCTTTCTCTTTTTCTTTCTTTCTTTCTTCCCTTCCTTTCCTTTCTTTCCCTCTCTTCCTCTTTCTTTCTTTCTTTCTTTCTTTCTTTCTTTCTTCCTTCCTTCCTTCCCTTCCCTTCCCTTCCCTTCCCTTTCCCTCTCTCCCTTTCTTTCTTTCTTTCTTTCTTTCTTTCTTTCTTTCTCTCTCTCTCTCTCTCTCTTTCTTTCTTTCTTTCTTCCCTTCCCTTTCCTTCCCTTTCCCTCTCTCCTTCCTTCCTTCCTTCCTTCCTTCCTTTCTTTCTTTCTTTCTTTCTCTTTTTCTTTCTTTCTTTCTTTCTTCCCTTCCTTCCCTTCCCCTCTCTCCCTCTCCCTCTTTCTTTCCTTCTTCTTTCTTTCTTTCTTTCTCTCTCTCTCTCTCTCTCTTTCTTTCTTTCTTTCTTCCCTTCCCTTTCCTTCCCTTTCCCTCTCTCCCTTTCTTTTTCTTTCTTTCTCTTCCTTTTTCTTTCTTCCCTTCCCTTTCCTTTCCTTTCCCTCTCTCCCTTTCTTTCTTTCTTTCCCTTTCCTTTCCCTCTCTCCCTTTCTTTCTTTCTTTCCCTTTCCTTTCCCTCTCTCCCTCCCTCCTTTCTTTCTTTTTTTCTTCCTTCCTTCCTTCCTTCTTTTCAGGGTCTGGTGACATTGGAGAAGGTGTCTCTGGGCTTTACGGAGGAGGAGTGGAGGCTTCTGGATTCAGAGCAGAAAGCTTTACATGAAGAAGTGATGGAGGAGATTAGGGGGATCGTGGTTTCTCTGGGTAAGGCCCCCTTTAATGCTCATTTCTTAAAATCAGGGTATTTTGTTGTAAGCAGTCAGCAGTTCTCTGCGTTCAGAACGGCCCATCCAGAAAGACTTTGTGTATTTAAGTCTTTGAATGATTATGGGTGTGTGTGTGTGTGTGAAGGTTCGTTCTCCGAGCTTGTGGGTTGGTTTCTGAACGTTTCGTTACCTGGCTAGGTAACATCTTCAGCGGAGTTTAGGGGACGTCAGTGTTCGTCTGTTTATAAGAGCTTCAGGTGTGAGTGTGTCAAGTGAGGGTCTGTGATGGGTCAGGTGTGAGTCATCAGTGAGAGACTTATGAGGGGGTCTTGTGATGGGGAGGTTACATCCGGTGAGGGTCATTGGGAGGTGAAGTGCTGGGGGGGGGGCTTGTGTGGGTTGGTTGTGGGTCGGTGCGGTCTCTGGTTGGCTGTGTGGTTGATGTGGATCCTGAGGGGCTCGTAGGCAACTTGTAGGCCGATGTGTCTGTTAATGGAATTGCTGGTGGAGCGCCAAGCTTCGACAAACTCCTGAGTGTGGCTTTGAACGACGGTAGTTGAATTTGCAGGATGTTTTAAAATTCTCTATCCCTCCTCCCCCCCCCACCACAAAAGCTGAGAAGCAGTTCTTCAAGGCAAGGCTTTTCAACCTTTTCACCTATTGTACCACTTTTAGGATATGGCAACATCCGAGTACCACCAGTCGCCTAGCAAGGTGTCAAAAACTTGAAAAAGTACAGGTAGTCCTCGACTTACAACAGTTCACTTAGTGACTGCTCGAAGTTACAACTGCACTGAAAAAAGTGCCCCCCAAGCCACAGCCAAGCAAGACATCTGTGTGCCCGCCCGGCCGCGCTCTTCCTCCTGTCCAAGTTTTCATTGTTGTGAGCATTTCTGTTGAGGATTGGCAGCAGGGGTGGGGTGGGGGGGTGTTTGGTTTTTATTCCCCCCATCTTGATGGGTTGTTGCAGCAGGTTTTGGTCACTTCACACATGATCCTGGGACACTGTGACCGTCATAAATATGAATCAGTTGCCAAGCATCTGAATGTAAATCATAAGACCCTGGAGATGCTGAAACATTCCAGCTGATCGGCGCTTCTTCTGGGCTCAGCAGAAGCACCAGGATCAGCGCCGGGCTCCAGCTGGAGCCTGGCGCTGATCCTGGCGCTTCTGCTGAGCCCTGAAAGTCTCGAAGAAGCACCAATCAGCTGGAAAGCGGCACTGATCCTGGCGCTTCCGCTGAGCCCTGACAGCCCTGCAGCTGCAGCCATCTCTGGCTCAGGCTTGTGCGGTGCTGCCGCCGGTTCAGCTCATTCCCCTCCCCCGCTGGGATGGTTGCGTACCATCTGCCAGGTGCCAATGTACCACAGGTGGTACCCGTACCACTGGTTGAAAAGCCCTGCTTCAAGGCCTTTTACAAAAGGCCAGCAGGGTAGAAAGCAACCTGATCTCAGAGTGATGATCTTCCAGAACGGGGGGGTGGGGGTGGGTGGCACCGCAGAAGAGTCTCAGGTCCAGCCAGTCAATACTTATTGGCTGACGGTACCCACAGATTACAGATAATTGTTTTTATTCTTATCACTGTTTAGTACATAAGTCACTTTTTTCCAGCGCCGTTGTAACTTTGAATGGTCACTAAGCGAACTGTTGTAAGTCAAGGACTTCCTGTCTATTTTTTTCAGATCTTTTTGTGATCTTTTCACAAACTGATCCTTTCAAAATTGGGGTTTTTTTTAAAAAAAAAAAGATTGACCTAAGGTAGAATAATGTGGAATAATAATAATAATAATGAAAAATCACTAAAATAATGATGTGTCTGCATAATTACTGGAGTAATGCTGTGTTAACAATATGTGACTAACCAAATGCGCATTGCATTCAGATACAACGCATGTGGCAGATTGTCCATTGTGTGCCCATGAGAAATGAATCTAATGTATTACCATGTAGATTTCTATGTGTGTTCCTTTGTTCCTGAGAAAGGGAAAAGTATAAAACCGTAGTCTGAACCCTCCCTCAGGGTTCAGAGTTGCTTGTCTCTATTGCATCTGAACCTGCGCAATAAATCTCAATATTGCGCAATAAACCTGCGCAATAAATCTCAATCTTTATTGCGCAATAAATCTGCGCAATAAATCTCAATCTTTATTGCGCAATAAATCTGCGCAATAAAAGATGCTGAGACTCTAGAGCAGTGGTTCTCAACCTGTGGGTCGGGACCCCATTTGGGGTCGAACGACCATTTCACGGGGGTCGCCAAACAACGCAGTCCGACATTTTTTCCCCCCTTTTCCTTAGCTGTGCTACTCCCTTTTATTCTATTGGCTTTCGAAAGCCAATAGAATAGACTCTCTTGAATAGAGTCTAATTCTATTGGCTTTCAAAAGCCAATAGGAATTGTCCAGGGTGTCTCTGCCCTGCTGAGCCCGCCAAAAGTCCCATTCTGCAAACGGTGCTGCACCAGTTGAGTAGTCCTCGACTTACGACCGGTTGGGGGGTCGCGGCATTAAAAAGGTTGAGAACCACTGCTCTAGAAAGAGTGCAGAGAAGAGCAACAAAGATGATTAGGGGACTGGAGGCTAAAACATATAAGGAACGGTTGTTAGAATTGGGTATGTCTAGTTTAACGAAGAGAAGGACAAGGGGGGACATGATAGCCGTATTCCAATACCTCAGGGGCTGCCATAAAGAAGAGGGAATCAAGCTATTTTCCAAAGCACCTGAAGGCAGGACAAGAAGCAATCAAGGAGAGAAGCAAACTAGAACTAAGGAGAAACTTCCTGACAGTGAGAACAATTAATCAGTGAAACAGCCTGCCTCCAGAAGCAGTAAATGCTCCAACACTGGAAGTTTTTAAGAAGAGACTGGACAGCCATTTGTCCGAAATGGTGTAGGGTTTCCTGCCTGAGCAGGGGGTTGGACTAGATGACCTCCAAGGTCCCTTCCAACTTTACTACTATTACTAATTACTAAAATCTCTCTGCTAAACCCTCTGGAATTCGTAAAAGTCTCTTTCGTTTTCCACAAGAGACCAACGGGATTCATTATTGTGAACTAAACCTTAGTTGCACAATTCCAGACTTGACTATTCGCTTTTTAAAAACAAACAAAAAAAAAAACACCTTTCGTACATGCCAAGTCTCTCTCATTTCTGGCTTTTTGTCATTCTCAGTTGTGCTCATTCTTTGATTTTTACCTCTTCTCTGAATCCTTTTTTTTTTTTCCCCAGAGGCTGAGAGACAGCACAACAAGTCTGATGGAGAACCAAGCGACCTGTTTTTCGAAGGAATTGGGCGTGAAGCAGAGGAAAAAAAGAGAATAACAAACGCCGAATTGAATAGTGAGGCCCGTGAAGGGCGAATAGAGAAAGCCATGGAAAAAACCGAGTGTCTGGTATATGAGGAGATCTCCGGTTGTAAATCCTCCTTTTACCTCCACGTGGGATCCCACGCAGGGGAAAGACCTTTCCGGTGCCAGGTGTGTGGCAAGACCTTCAAGAGGAGAGATATCCTGATTTCCCACCACCGGACTCACACGGGCGAGAAACCCTACGAATGTTTCAAATGCGGGAAATGCTTCAGCGACATCAAATACCTCAGCTCCCATAAAAAGATCCACACGGGAGAGAAGCCGTACAAATGCAAGGAGTGCGGGAAGGGCTTCAGTCAGAGCGCCAGCCTCACTTCCCATTTCCGCATCCACACGGGCGAGAAGCCGTACAAATGCCCGACGTGCGGGAAGGCGTTCGCTCAGCAGTCGAACCTCAATTCCCACCAGATCAGTCACACCGGAGAGAAACCCTACGAATGCCTGGCGTGCGGGAAGAGGTTCAGCCACGGGGCCAGCCTCACCCACCATCAGCAGCTCCACACCGGGGAGAAGCCGTACGGATGTCTGGAGTGCGGGAAGAGCTTCAGCAGTAGCAAAAATCTCATTTCCCATCAAAGAATCCACACCGGGGAGAAGCCGTACACCTGCCTGGAGTGCGGGAAGAGCTTCAGCCAGAAGGTGTACCTCACCACTCACGGACGGATCCACACGGGCGAGAAACCCTATCAATGCCTCGAGTGTGGGAAAAGCTTCACCAGCAGCAAATATCTTCTTTCCCACCACAAGGTGCACACCGGGGAGAAACCGTACACCTGCTTGGCCTGCGGGAAGAGCTTTCGACGGAAGATGCAACTTGCCACTCATCAAAGGACTCACGAGGGAGAAACCTCAAAGTGTTGAATGCTCCTCGGGAGGAGAAGTGAAAGGGATAAGTGTCACCCCTTTGAAGTACAGGTAGTCCTCAACTTACGACCACCACTGAGCCCAAAATTCCTACTGCTAAGCGAGACAGTTGCTAAGTGATACTAACGAAGGAGAATATTTGGAGCCCAGGGTTGAAATAAGGGGGTCCTTGGTGTTCTCTGAGCTTGCTTGTTTTCTTACAGATGTTTCATTACCCTACCTAGATGACATCATCAGTGCTAGTAAGGAGTGCTGTTTGCTGTCGGTTTATATTCTGGTGTCTCACCCGCCTGGGTGGGTAGGGGCGGCCTTAGGGATTCTTTGATTGGGCTGTTTACTAATGGCCCCTTGGTGGTTTCTTGATTGGGGTATGGCTTGATTGTTGGTCAACGTCAAGGTCAACTGCAGACCAACAATCAAGTAAGCAATGCCCCAATCAAGAAACTGCCAAAGAGCCATTAGTAAACAGCCTAACCCAGGGATAGGCAACCTGGGCTCTTTTATGACTCGTGGACTTCAACTCCCAGAATTCCTGAGCCAGCATGGCTCAGCTTGGAAACCTCCCTTTCCCCTCAGCATGGCTGGCTCAGGAATTCTGGGAGTTGAAGTCCACGAGTCATAAAAGAGCCAAGGTTGCCTATCCCTGGCCTAGGCCTGTATTTTTCAACCTTGGCCACTCGGAGATGGGTAGACTTCAACTCCCAGAATTCCTGAGCCAGCATGGGGGAAATATGGCCCCTTCATGACTCGTGGACTTCAACTCCCAGAATTCCTGAGCCAGCAGGGCTCAGCTTGGAAACCTCTCCCTTTCCCCTCAGCATGGCTGGCTCAGGAATTCTGGGAGTTGAAGTCCACGAGTCATAAAAGAGCCAAGGTTGCCTACCCCTGGGATAACCAAAGAATCCCTAAAACGTCTGCAAGAAAACAAGCAAGCTCAGAGAGCACCGAGGACCCCTCAGTTGTTAAGTGAGTTTCATCCCATTGACAATCTTTCTTTTCACAGTTACTGTAGATCCCTGCGGTTGTTAAGTTGGTAACACAGTTGTTACGTGAATCTGGGCTTCCCCATTGACTTTGCTTGTCGCCAAAGGTGATCACGTGACCCCAGGACACTTGCAGCCATCATAAATATGGACCCATTGCCGAGGGGTCTGAATTTTGATCACATGATTATGGGGATGCTGCAGTGGTCATCCGTGTGCAAGACAGTCTTGTCGCTTTTTTTCAATGCCATTGTAACTTTGAACAGTCACTAAATGAATAGTTGTAAATCGAGGACTGCTTGTGGTCCAGACAAGAAACCCAAGCCGTGACTGCTTAAGACTTCCTTTATTGTAAAGCAGACATGTCAAACACAAGGCCCGGGGGCCGGATGCGGCCCGTGAAGTGGTTTCATGTGGCCCGCGAAACTATCCTTGAAACAGTGAGGGAACGGCTCCCGCTGCCTTGGCCCTGGCCCAGGCCAGCCGGGAGCCAATGTACAATTTTGTGGTGGCCATCTTGGCACTTGCCCCGGTGGACCATGCCTTGGCACTTGCCCCAGTTCCACCCCCTTCTATCCTCTCTCCCTATTCTCACAGACCATTACAATCAGAGTTGAGTGGACGAAGGAGGAGGAGTTTTGAGGTGCAGAAATTCCAAAGCACCCCTAGAGGACAGCAAAGAGTTATTTTTTCCCCGTGTCTCTTTCCTGCCATCTAGTGGTCGTCTCAATCTTTGCAGTCCAGATCAACTAAGCCCTGAGCAAAATGAGACTTACCCTGTTCTTAAACCTCTTGTCACAACAGGATAAATACATTCAGAAGAGAAGAGGCTCAAATAAATTGCGGAATTACCTCAGACTCCAGACATTTCTTCCTCCCACACACAACCCACGAGTGTTAGGATGTAACAACTCTGTTGAATACACCGCAGTGATTCTGGTGAATCCTTCCTGGCAATATGTCCGAAGACTTTTTGAAATTGCAATTAATTCAGAGTGCTACAGTGGCTTTGTAGAAGATTCCAGCAATTGACACTGTTCCTTTGAACCAAGCGGAGCGTGCAAAAAGGATAACCTAAAAGGATATCTAAGAACCTTTCCTTACATCTGCCTGACGAGCCATGGTGGCGCAGTGGTTAGAATGCGGTATTGCAGGCTGACTCTGCCCACTATCAGTAGTTCGATCCTGACCGGCTCAAGGTTGACTCAGCTTTCCATCCTTCCAAGGTTGGTAAAATGAGGATGTAGATTGTTGGGGGCAATATGCTAATTCTCTAAACCAGGGCTTTTCAACCTTTTCACCCATTGTACCATTTTTAGGATATGGCAACATCCGAGTACCATCAGTTGCCTAGCAAGGTGTCAAAAACTTCATGACCCCCCCAAAAGGAAAAACGTGATAAAGTACAGGTAGTCCTCGACTTACAACAGTTTGTTTAGTGACTGTTCGAAGTTACAATGGCACTGAAAAAAGTGCCCCCCAGGCCACAGCCAAGCAAGACACCTGCCTGCACACCCGGCGGCACTCTTCCTCCTGTCCGAGGTTTTCATTGTTGTGAGCATTTCTGTTGAGGATTGGCAGCGGGGGTGGGATGGGGGGTGTTTGGTTTTTATTCCCCCCCCCCCGCTGGGTGGTTGCAGCAGGTTTTGGTCACTTCACATGACCCTGGGACACTGTGACCGTCATAAATATGAATCAGTTGCCAAGCATCTGAATGTAAATCACAAGACCCTGGAGATGCTGTAACATTCCAGCTGATAGGCGCTTCTTCTGGGCTCAGCAGAAGCGCCAGGATCAGTGCTGCTTTCCAGCTGATTGGTGCTTTTTCTGGGCTCAGCAGAAGCGCCAGGACCAGCGCCGAGCTCCAGCTGGATCCTGGTGCTGATCCTGGCGCTTCTGCTGGGCCCTGACAGCCCTGCAGCTCCAGCCGTCTCTCGCTCAGGCTTGTGCAGTGCTGCCACTGGTTCAGCTCATTCCCCTCCCCCGCTACCACTTTTCTAGGATGGTCGCATACCATCTGCCAGGTGCCAATGTACCACAGGTGGTACCCGTACCACTGGTTGAAAAGCTCTGCTCTAAACTGCTTAGAAAGGGCTATAAAGCCCTGTGATGCAGTATACAAGTTTAAATGGTGTTGGTGTTGCTATTGCTAATCCAATGGAGAAACTTGGTTTTATCCAAGCTGGGGTGGAGACCCAGCAGCAGAAAAAGACATCTCACTTCCTGCTCTGGTCGACCTGCAGTTGAACAGGACCAACGATCTGTATTAGATCTGTGGAATTCCCTGCTCCCTTTGTTCGTGCTCTTTCACCAAATATGACTATATTTATGGTGGGATTCGTTCCATGCAGATACAGATTTTATATGATATTTGACTTTGTGTTGTATCTGTCTGTGCTTGCTATATAACACTAGTCCTTCATCATTTTCAAAATGAATTCTTGTACTAGTTTAAATTGTTGCTAGTTACCCTAAACTGAACACTAGAAAATCAGGATGTATTAGAAATATTATTATTATTATTATGGATCATCGCACAGTCAGCCAGATGTTCAGACTGGATTTGGCATTTTGTCTACCTATCGAGTCCTTACCCAGGACCTGGGATAGGCAGATGTGGATGTTTGATGGTATTACAGGTATCGTCGCAGGATGGAAGCAGTTCCTAATAAGGCCGCCTTTTGCAATTGACTAATAGCGAATTTGTCAATGCCAATGGTGTTCAAGTGGTGCTCCAGTTGTTTTGGGATTGCACCCAAGGAGCCTATGACTATTGGTACTACCCTTGCTTGCTTTTGCCACAGTCTTTCTATTTCTATTTGTAGGTCTTTGTATTTTGTTATCTTCTCCAGTTCTTTCTCGTCTATTCTGCTATCTCCAGGCACTGCCACGTCCACTATCCAGACTTTTTTGTCTTTCTTATCGACAATTGTTAAGTCTGGGGTGTTATGTTGCAGGTGCTTGTCTGTTTGAATTCTGAAGTCCCAGAGCAGTTTAATTTTATCATTTTCTATGACTTTCTCTATTTTATGATCCCACCAGTTTTTGCTTACAGGCAAGTGATATTTTTTGCAGATCTTCCAATGCACCATTGTTGCTACTTTGTCATGCCGCTGCTTGTAGTCAGTCTGTGCAATCTTCTTGCAACAGCTTACCAAGTGGTCCACTGTTTCTTCAGCTTCTTTGCATAGGCGGCACTTACTGTCTGTTGCTGTCTTCTCAATTTTGACTTTGTATGCATTTGTCCTTAAGGCTTGGTCTTGTGCAGCCAGAATTAGTCCCTCGGTCTCTTTCTTCAATTTTCCTGCTCTTAGCCATTGCCAGGTCTTATTATTATCTGCTTTCCCAGCTATTTTTTTAATGTATTGGCCATGTAGTGCTTTGTCTTCCCATGCCTCTATTCTGTTCTTCATTTGGTCTTTCTTGTAGGCCAGTTTGGTCTCTCCAGTAGTTAGTAAGCCTTCCTGATATACTAATTTCAGTGCATCTTCATCATTGTTCTTCAGATATTCTTCCAAAGCCATTTTTTCTTCTTCAACCATCTGATGTACTTGTAGCATTCCACGCCCACCTATTTGCCTTGGTAGATAAAGTCTATCAATGTCACTGCGTGGATGAAGGGCATGATTCATTGTCATTATTTTTCTGGTCTGCCTATCCATTGCTTTTAGTTCTGCTTGAGTCCAGTCCACTATTCCAGCTGTGTACCTAATGACTGGGATTGCCCAGGTGTTGATTGCCTTTATGGTATTTCCTCCATTGAGTTTGGACTTTAAGATCTTCTTCACTCTCTTGATGTATTCACCTCTAATCTTTTTCTTGACTTCAGTGTGCTTGATGTTGTCAGCTTGAAGGATACCCAAGTATTTGTAGTACTCTTCCTCATCCAGACTCTTAATGTTATTTTCGTGGGGCATCTTGATTCCTTCAGTTTTCACTATTTTTCCTTGTTTGATAGTAAGTGTGGCACATTTGTCCAAGCCAAACTCCATTACAATATCTTGGCTATATATACGGACAGTGTTGAGCAGCGATTCTATTTCAGATGATGTTTTTCCATACAGCTTCAGATCATCCATATAAAGGAGGTGGGATAGTCTGGCAGATGTTTTTGATGTTTGATAGCCATGTCCTGAGTTATTCAGTATTGTTGACAGAGGAAACAGTGCAATAACAAATAGTAATGGTGATAATGAATCTCCTTGAAATATTCCTCTCTTGATATTAACCTCTCCCAGCCTCTCACCATTGATCTGCAACTGTGTCTTCCATTGTGCCATCGATCTTTGCACAAATTTTCTGATGTTTCTACTGACTCCTGTTATTTCTAGGCACTTTATTATCCAATCATGTGGCAGAGAGTCAAATGCCTTTTTGTAGTCAATCCATGCCACATTCAGGTTGGTCTTCCTTCTCTTGCAGTTTTCCAAGATCATTTTGTCTATTAGGAGTTGATCTTTTGTTCCTCTGCTATTGGGGCGGTTTCCTTTCTGCTCAGGTGGAAAGAGATTGT